TCTCTCCTGCCCTCCGTGCTCTAGGAGTGCAACAGAAGACAATGACCACGGTTCTTGCAAAAGTGACCGACCCCACAATCCTTCTCCTTACCTCCCTGACTCACCTCAAGCTCTCATCCGACTCCAGAGGTCCAGGGCAAGACCTGCAATGGCAAACACAAACACTAAAAGCACTGAACATGTTCTTCTCAATTCTAAGCTACCGCACACACACACAAACCCCTTACCTCCTCACAGCTGGAAAAGTAACCTGGAGCAATGCCCCACAAGACTACTAATGGGTTGACTGCAGGAAAAGCTCTGCTCTGCTTTATGCTTGTAAAGACTGAAAAAAAATGCCTGACACACTTTTAAACAACCAACACAAGCAGTCAGGATATAAAGAACAAGGTCTAAAGAGCAGGCTTAGCACCTTTAGTCCTAGCAGTGATGTGGAAGCACCAACACAGATCACAATCAAATACACTCATTGAGCAGACAAGCTGTACTACCCAACCCACTGTAAGATCGTGCTATAAAATGCCCCGCTTTCTTCTTCTCATCCCTATGGCACATTTCAGACCTATTCCTGCTATCCTGATCCTGTTCCCACCCCTGTTCTCACAAAAACTAGTCTTTCTGCTTAATTTTTATAGTGTTTTAAGTCTCAAGCCAAAATTACTGCGCAGATATCCCATACTATGCACCTGGGTGTTTACTGCACCCACCCAATTCATTTCCATCATCTGCAGTAACAGCAGTTAGAAAAAAAAGAACAGAAACCAGAAATCCAGCCACATAACATTTTAGAGGCAAACACCCTGAAATACTAACTACATCAGACTGTAAAGAACCAGCGCCCTCTATACTTTAAAAGTGAGAAATAAACAAGCTAAAAACCACTCTTAAACCTTTCCCTGCCAAAAATCACCATTTCTTTAACAGCTTCTACATCCCAAAACAACATTAATGTTCTGCTTTGGTCTTCTTTAAACCTAAGCATTGAAGTTAGCTTTTATAAGAGCCCAGACCCAAAGGCACCCTTGAAAAATCTCCTAGTCATATAACTAGTATATACATTCAGTAACCACAACCATGACCATCATATGCAAAAACAAACAGAGAGAAAAGAGAAGGAATGAGAACAAAAACAAACCTTGCCATAACTTCTGTGCCTGAGAGCAACCAAAAAAATCTGCTTAGCTCAAAACCACCAATAACAATAGCACCTCAAAGAAAACCACAGCACAAAAGAGTTTACTGGTACATGCACACATAAATACTAAGGTAGCTTAAAATATTTAGCTAGGAAAAAATCATTTCAAAGAACTCAAAAAACAAAAGCAGAAACAAAGCACAAAGCATTAAATCCACAAAACCCCCCAAACACCTTACCTTCAAGAGAGCCAAACCCAATAGAAGCTCCTTGTTTGGAAGCTGTGCCTTATATACCCCAGGCCCTACCCACAGCCCCTCCCTCACAGCCCTGGCTCAGGGGTGGGTCAAACCAGCAGCTGGGGTAAATACAGCCTGACAAGGTACAGCTGGCTCTTTTGGTTTCTGGCTTTACCTTTTTGGCCTTCTTTTGCTGCCTTAGATTTACATTCAGAACTCACAGACTGCACAGCTTCACCTTTATGCAGTTAGGCTCTGAATTATATTTGGTTTCAGACCACACAGGGTTTTTCTGTCTCAGGTTCTGGGGATCAGACTCACATGGGTTTGCTTCCACACGGACTGGGTCAGACTCATGTATTTAAACTGCACAGACACTCCAGCTCAGACTTGCGCTCAACCTGGCATTCACTGACTCACACATCCACACGAATCTCACACTGAGACTAACACAGATTCCCTGGCTCAGACTTGCTCTCACATTTTAAGTGAAAAAAAGACGTGCAGGTGATTTAGCCAAGGTGAGCCATCCTTAGAACACCCAAGTACCAACTTATTTCATGGTCTTGTCATTTACATAAAACTGTATTTTTTACTTCTTGTTAGTGTTTTCCAAGGGGTGTACACGTTAGAATAAAGGGATGGAAAACCTTTGAAGTTTAGTGGATGAGTAGTGAAGTGACAGGAGAGGGAAATGGCACTTGCTGAGGCAAGGGTGCAGCTTCTATATCTCTTTGTGTGTGCTTGTTTCCATTTCTTTTGTAGGTGCTGCAGGTAACTCCAGAGAGGTGAAGCTGACAACTGAGGAGGGCTGTGAGAAGGTAAGGGGGTTGTCTGTGTGGGTTTGGTGGTTTAGAGTTGAGAAGAGCATGGCAAAGGGGTTCAGTATTTGTGTTTGGTGTTGCAGGGCCTGCCTTCTACCACTGGAGTCAGATGAGTGCTTGAGGTGAGTCAGGGAGGTAAGGAGAAAGATTGGGAGGTTGGGCACTTTTTACGAGCACTGTGGTCATTTGTCTCTATTGTACTCCTAGGACCTGGAGAGAAGGAGAGGCTCAGTGTTGGACTCTACTATGGGATTGGAACAGGAAAACATAATGTTGAGGAGCTTTGAAGGAGGAAGAGGGCTGTTACAGACTGGGCCAGTATTGGTGGGTGGGGTGGTGGTGATGATGATGGCCAGCACAGGGTGTTCCTGTTGGTTCCTTTGTTTGTTGCAGGTGATAAAGAGGAACTTGGCATCTGTGGCAAGGTCCCTGGACTTTGATGTGGGTGTTCTGAGCATCAAGGGCAGGTTGAGACCCATGGCACTATGGAAGTTAAGTAGAAGGATTGCTGCTTGGTACTGGAGGGACAAGGTCAGGATGGCAGGAAGGGGTTTGAAGTGTAGCATAGGGCTGAGGGGAAGGCAGGGGTTACTTTGCAGCATGAGCTCACATGGGTAGCTTACCCAGTTTAGCACAGCACCATTTAGCACAATTCAGACCAGTTTAGCCTACCCCAAACCAGTTTAGCCCAGTTCAGACAAGTTTATCCCAGTTCAGACCACTCCAGCCCACTTTAGCCCGCTTCAGACAGGCCTAACTCAGTTCAGAACAGATTAGCCCAGTTCAGCCCAGTTAAGGCAGGTTTAGCACAGTTACGTCTGGTTTAGCCCAGTTCAGACCAATATAGCCCAACATGCCACAGTTTGGACCAGTTTAGCCCAGTATACTCCAGTTTAGTCCAGCCCAGCCCACTTTAGTCCACTGCACACCAGTCCAGCCCACTTTATCTCACTTCAGACACTTCACCCCAGTTCAGGCCAGCCCACTTTAGCCCTGTCCAGCCAAGTCCAGCTCACCTCAGCCCGTTTAGCCCACTTTAGCCCAGTGCAGAAAACTTTCGCACAGTCCATTCCAGTTTAGCCCAGCCCACTTTAGCCCAATTTAGCCCAGTTTAGCCCTGTCCAGACCAATTTAGCCCAGCCCAGCTTAGCCCACTTCAGCCCAGTTTAGCCCAGTTCAGACATGTCCAGACCAATTTAGCACAGTTCAGCAGGGTTTAGCCCAATTCAGACCAGTCTAACACACCTTAGCCCTCTTGAGCCCACTATCACCCACTTCAGCCCAGCACAGCACAGTGTAGGCCACTTCATCCTAGTTTAGCCCAATTCACATCTGTCTAGACCAGTTTAGCACAGTTAAGCCCAATTTAGCCCAGTCCAGACCAGTTTAGCCCAACACAGCCCAGCACAGCACAGTTCAGCCCACTTTAGCCCTTCCCAGCCCAATGTAGCACACTTTAGGCCAGTTCAGTCCAGCCCAGTTTAGCTCAGTCCATCTTATCCCAGCCCAGTTTAATGCAGTTCAGCCCAGTTTACAACCCAGCCCACTCCAGCTCAGCACAGACAACTTGAGCCCAATTAGACCCATTTTAGCACAATTCATCCCGGCTTAGCTCAGCTGCATGACTGCCAGGAGAGGGCACGAAAGAGGTTGCACATAACTGGACTTCCAGGGGGGAAAACGAATAGCAACAGCAATGCGGGTGGTATCGTTGCGGACCTCACAGTCTGTAGAAGAATCTCCGGTGCCCGCACTCGGCAGTCCTGCAGCAGAATGAGCAGAGCACAAATGTTTGGCCTCTGCTCCTACAGCCGAAGAGCCAGCACAGAAAGCTGGTGCTGGGCCTCTTCTGCAGGCAGTGAGCTCCGCAACTGAGACAACCTCTACGGAACTTGCAAACCCCCCCATCAACAGGCATGCGCTGAATCCCCTCCCTTGATTTGGAAACCCCCCTGACCCCAAACACACGATGCGAACCCACCCCCCAAGGAGCTCCTTGGACCCGTCTGAATGCACACACAGCCCCCAAACCCGCCCACCCGGAAACCCCCTTACCCCTCCCCCAGGGCCCCAAACACATAATAGGGACCTCCACGGGGATCCCCCCCAGAGACCTCCAGAGCACCTGATGCAGCCCCTTAGGATGCCGTAAGACCTTCTTGGGACCCCAAGAGTACTCATAGGACCCCTCCAGGCACCCCAAAGACAAACCAAAGCTCCCCTGGGAACCCCTCATTCCCCCATTTCCCCCCCCCCGGGGGGGGATGACGAGGACAACACAAGGCTGGCGAGCTGGACTGCGGTGGGCTCTCAAAAAGAGGTGAGTGTGCAATGAGCGTGCAACGAGTCTTCAACGAGCGCGCACTGAGTCTGTAACGGGTGCGCAGCGACGAGCAGCGGGGTCGCACCTGATTGCAGTCTCCGGCGCCACCCGCGGCCGGGGCGGGCCCGCAACGTCGGACGTGATTGAGACCCCCGCGTTGGTTCCGCTGCGGTCGCCCCGCCCCGTGCAAAGCGGGCGCCGCCTCTGCGAGCCTCGCCACGCCCCCGGCTCCTACTGCGGGCGAGCCTCCGCCCTCAGCTGCCCGCGCCCCGCGGCAGTCCCCGTTCCTCTCTCCTCGGTGCTGGGCATCCCCTACACAGAACACCACGCAGCGGTGCCTCCACCTCCCGTAGAACACGCACCGCCACGCCGGGAACCTGCACTGAAAACGTTTTATATCCAAACGGCGCCCGATACACGCGTTGCGGGTGCCGTGATGGTGCCGCCCTCCCCGTTGCCATGGTTGTCGCTGTCCGCGCTCCCCCCCTTACCGGCCGCCGTAGCGCCACCGGAGGTCCCTCCCCTTCCTGCCGCCGCTCTCGCCGCCGCTATGGCGAAGCTGCTGAGCTGCGTCCTGGGCCCGCGGCTCTACCGCGTCCATCGGCCGCGACCGGCCGGGGCCGGGGCGGAGGGACCCGGGGGCAGCGGCGGGGACCCGGCCTCCTGGGTGCGTGGGACAGCGGCTGTTGCGGCGGGACACGGGGGGGGGGGGCGTTGTCATGGTGACGGCGGCAAAATGGCGGCAGGGCGGTGGGACACCCCCCGGTAACCCCGTTCCCTCTCCCCAGTGACCGCGTTTCCCTCCCATGACCGTATTTCCCCGCCTATAACCACCTTCCCCCCCCAGGACTCGTACTATCAGCCCCGGGGGCTGGAGAAGCACACGGACAGTGTCCTGGCGCTGGTGAGGTGGGGGGCCACGGGGACCCCCCCTTAAACTCCCCTTCCTAGTGTCCCCTATGAACCCTGTATGGATCCCAGATCCCTCCCCACCATTGCCGCCTTTACCCTCCTCAGTGGACCCCAGGACTCCAATGGGAGTCTCGGGGTCCCCCCCCACCGTGGGGTGACAGGAGCCCCTCCGCCCCAGGCCTCGGTGCTCTGGTCCATCTCCTATTATGCATCACCATTGGCTGTGTTCTACCTGTACCGCAAAGGTGGGGCCAAGGGGGGGCCTGGAGGGGTCTGTGGGGTGTCAGTGTGTCAGTGTGGGGTGTCCGTGGGGTGTCAGTGGGTCACTGTGGATCAGGGTGGGGTGTCCGTGGGGTGTCAGTGGGTCACTGTGGGTCAGGGTGGGGTGTCCATGGGGTGTCAGTAGGTCACTCTATGGGTCTCACCTGTGTTTAAGCCCCATTGTGTGTTATGGGGGCTCGGGTGCTGCCCCATAGTGACCGCCCCTTTCCCCCCCCCCCAGGGCTGCTGACAATGTCCCGTGTGATCCCAATGTCCCACTGCGCTGCCACCGTGGTGCTGCTCCTGGCAGGGGTGGCCTGTCTGCGAGGTGAGGCCTTTGCGGAGGGGGGCCGCCCCTTCCCCATTGGGGGGGTCCCCAACACCCCCCATTTTTGTGTGCCTCCCCCCCAGGCATTGGCCGCTGGAGCAACCCCCAGTACGTGGAGTTCATCTCGGTGTTGGAGGACAGTCACCGCCTGGGCACCCCCGAGGTCAAGGTGGGACCGGGACCCCCCATAGGTGATGAAGAGCCCCCCCGGGTCTGAGGGTGTCTCACCCCTTGTCCCCTCCTCCCCCCATAGCGCAAACTGGCCCATTACACTTTTGACTTCAGGAGCTGGCCCATTGACTTCCGCTGGGACAGCACCGGGGTCCCCTGGTGAGCCCAAACCCCCCCTCCGGACTCCCCCATCCCATTGGCACACCCCCAGCCCACTGACACCCCCCCCCGCCATCCGCAGGGGAGGATCCCGGGATGTGCCACTGCTCCGGACCCCCCCCGGGCATCGCGGGGCCGCGCGAGGCTTCCTGGGGGCCCTGCGCAAGGTGCCCTGCAGGCTGGCCAGGTGGGCGGGGTCTGAGGTGGGCGGGATCTGAGGTGGGCGGGGCTGGGGGGGGTCTGCTCGCGTCCCCAAGGGGAGGGGTGGAGCTTCTGAACCCTGAGGCTCTGTCTGTCATTTGAGAGGGGGTGGAGCTTACGGTTGGCCACGACCCCGAAGTAAAGGGGTGGGGCTACTTCTACATGGCCACGCCCACAAAGGGTTGGGGCATCGGGCCACGCCCGCAGGGGATTGGTGGGGTGGAGGTTGTGGTCACGCCCCCAAGGGAAGGGGTAACCTCATCTGACCCCGCCCCCTTTGGGCGTGGCGTGTCCTGGCCCCGCCCTCAGCCTGCTGCTGGCGCACACGCTGGGTCGGCGGATGCTGTTCCCGGGCTCGGTGCGGCTGCTGCAGAAGGCGCTGCTGCCCTCGCTGCTGCAGGGGCAGGCTCGGCTGGTGGAGGAGGTGAGAGCACAGACACCCCTGAACACCCCCAAACAGCCCTGAAACCCCCCAAAACCACCCTGAACAGTTCCCCAAACGGCCCAAAACAGCCCTCAGCCAGCCTGAAACAGCCCCAAATTGCCCTGAAACTTCCTAAAATACTTTGAAACAGCCCAAAACGCACCCAAAACTGCCCCTGAAACACCCCAAACCACCCTGAAACATCCCAAAACACACTGAGACACCCCAAAATACCCCTAAAACACTCCTGAAACCCCCTACACCCACAGTGTGGGGGGCAGCGCGCGAAGCTCTTGGCCTGTGACGGCAACGAGATAGACACCATGTTCATCGACCGGCGCGACCGGCCTGGGCCACACGGCAACACCCTGGTGAGGAGTCTCCGGGGCGCGGTGGGACACTGTAGGGTGCTCTTGGGCACTCTGACACCCCCCTGTCTCCCCCCAGGTCATCTGCTGTGAGGGCAACGCCGGGTTCTACGAGGTCGGCTGCTTGTGTACCCCCCTGGAGGGTAGGGATGGACCCCCTCTGCCCCAAGGATGGATTCTCTGCCCTACAAATGAACTGCCTAGACCCATAAATGAACCCCCCTGCTCCACAGATGGACCCCCCAGGCCCACAGATGGGCCATAGACCCCCCCCGCCCCGCAGATGTGCTCCTCTCCACCCATGAAGAGACCCCTCAGCCCTACAGCCACCTGTAACCCAAAGGGGACCCCAAAGATGGGCTCCCTCCAGCTCCCACCCCCAGCCCCGCACACAACTCCCCCATTACTGCATGGGCTGGTCCCATCCAGGCAGGGATGAAACCATGTGGGGTTCGAGGGGGGGTGTCACCCCTTTATAGGGTCCCACTGCCCCCAGTGCACAGGGGTGACCCCACTCTCTTTTTCCCCTCGCAACAGCCGGTTACTCCGTCCTGGGCTGGAATCATCCTGGCTTTGGAGGCAGCACCGTGAGTGTGTGTGGGGAGAAATCCTGTTTTGGGGTCGGTGGGGTGTTTTGGAGTGACCCCCCCGACTCCCCCTGCACAGGGGGTGCCGCTGCCGCAGAGCGAGGCCAATGCCATGGACGTGGTGGTTCGGTTTGCGCTGCAGGAGCTGCGCTTCCCCCCCCGCAGCATCGTGATCTACGCGTGGTCCATCGGCGGCTTCACCGGTACCGGCCGCTGGGGGGGCGATGGCGGGAGATGAGAGGCACCGTGGGTGCACTGGGGGGATATGGGAGGTACTGGGTGTGCCCTGGGAGGCACTGGGGCTGCATTGGGGTGCCCTGGGGCTGTACTGGGTGTTAGTGGAGCACTGTTACCCGCAGCCACCTGGGCCGCAATGTCCTACCCAGAGCTCGGAGCGCTCGTGCTCGATGCCTCCTTCGACGACCTCGTGCCCCTGGCGCTGAAGGTGCTGCCGCGAAGCTGGGGTGAGACCTGACCCCAAAACATCCCAAACCAGCTCAAACCCCCTCCAAAACACCCATAAATCCCACAAAACACCCCAACTACACCCCAAATCCCTCCCCCCATGTCCCCCCAGGGGAGCTGGTGACTAGGACCGTGAGGGAGCATCTGAATCTCAACAATGCTGATCAGCTCTGCAGGTACTTTTTGGGATCCCTCCCCCTATGTTTGGGGATCCCCCCAATGCCCCATAGACCCCCCCATAGACCCTCATTGCAGGTACCAGGGGCCGGTGCTGTTGGTGAGGAGGACACGGGACGAGATCATCACCACAACGTGAGTCCGTTTTGGGGGACGGGGCCTGATGGAGATGGGGGGATCCCTGTGACCCCCTTCATGTCCCATTTTCCCCCCACAGGGTCCCCGATGACATTGCATCCAATAGGGGCAATGATCTCCTGCTGAAGCTGCTGCAGCACCGGTGGGGATGGGGGTCCATGGGGGCATTTGGGGGTCAGTATGGGGTTTGGGGAAGTCCATGAGGGCGTCTGACCCCTGTCGCCCCCCACAGGTACCCCAAGATCATGGCAGATGAGGGGACCCGGATTGTGCGGGAATGGCTGGAAACAGCAACACCAGCGGAGGAGAGTGAGGGACTCCATAGACCCCATTAAGCCCTATAGCCCCCCATAGACGCCCCGTAACACCCATAGACCCCATAGACATCCCATAGACCCCCAGACCCCACAGAAACCTATAGACACCCCATAGACCCCCAGACCCCATAGAACTCCGTAGACACCCCATAACATCCATAGACCTCTCATATAGACCCCATAGGCACAGATAGTTCCCCATAGCCACTCCATAGATTCCCCCCCCCCCCCCCATAGCCCACATAGACTCCATAAACTACCCATAATCCCTACAGACCCACACAGATCTCATAGACCCCCTAGACCCCAATAGCTCCCCATAGACACCCTATACCCGACATGGGGTCAGGGTGACGGGGCAGGTCACGTGACCGGTCACATGCAGGGGCGTTGGCACAGAGGTGCCCAGTGGACGAGCGCTGGTGCCACGCCGTGCTCGAGGCCTTCGCCGGGGACCGGGACCCCCCCTTCCCATGGAGCCTGGGTGAGCCAATGGGGAGCCGGGGCTCTGGGGACAGCCAATGGGGAGTCAGGGATCAGGAGAACACCCAATGGGGACACAGGGATCTGGGGCCAGCCAATGGGGAGTCAGGGCTCTGGGGAGAGCCAGTGTAGAGAGAGCAGCCATTGGGGGGTGCTGAGTCCAGCGCTGGCCCCTCCCCTTTTAACCCCCTTGCTCCCCCCCCAGGGGAGGATCTGTCGGTGGAGGAGCGGCAGCAGCTGGCGCTGTTCCTGGTGAGGGGGCGGGGCTGAGGGAGGAGGGGCACATGGGGGAGGGGCTTCCGAAGGGGATGTGGGGTAGAGGTGGGGCTTGGGGGAACAGGGTTTGGGGGGCGGGGCGGGCGGGAATAGGCACCCACCGCCCCTCCCCCCGATTGCCCCTCCCCCGCAGGCGCAGAAGCATCTCCAGAATTTCGAGGCCTCGCACTGCACCCCCCTCCCCCCCCAGGCCTTCCGCCTGCCCTGGACTCTCTGACCTCTGACCTCTTCCCCACCTTCCGGGACCCCTGCCCCCACCATTCCCCCCGCCCCTCCCCCACCCTCCCCACCCGTGCCCCTCCCTCCCCCAAATCCTTCATTAAAAACGAGGTTTTTGTTCCCAGCGTTTAATAGAGGGGGGAGGGGAGGGATTTGGAAGGGGTCGGGGGGGGTCACAGCATCTTCCTCATCAGCTCCTCAGCTTCCAGAACCTTCTGCAGCTCCGCCTCCACTTGCGCCAACTGGGGGCGGGAGAACATGGGGATGGGTCCCCCCCAAGCCCCACCGATCCCCCTCAAACCCCTCTATGACCCTCCCAGGACACCCCCAACCCCCCCCCAGGACCTCAAATTCCCCCCCTCGGTATACCCCTATTACACCCCTCCCGACCCCTCCGGCTGAGAACCCCCCCAGGACCTCCTGAAACCCCCTTTGACCCCACCCCATCATCCCCCCAAAGCCCCCTTACGAACCCCAGCCCCAGGACCCCAACCCCCCAATTACACTCATATTGGACCCCCCCATGGCCTCACCTTGGCAGCATCAGCCTCCTGCACGCTGGGGGGCACCTTGTCCACATACCCTGCCCCCCCCCGGCGCTCCCGCAGCCGCTCCATGCTCCGGGCCAGCTCCTGCCTCCGCACCCCCAGCCTTGCCAGCTCCTTGGGAGCATCCACTAGGCCCTGGGGAGGGCGGGGGGGACCCCGAAATGATGTCATCAATGGGGGATTTCCCCATAGTGACATCACCCTGGGAGGGTACCCTATAACGATGGCATGGGGTCTCACCTTGAGCAGCAGGTGGACGGAGCAGTGCTCGGAGGCGACGGCCACTGCACAGCCGGGTGGGGGGGTCTCGGGGGTGTCCCCCCCTGCCCCCCCCAGCACGTGCACGGCCCCCACCCCCCCCAGCACCCGGATGTGGGGGCTGCAGTGCCCCGCGAGTGCCGCCCAGGAGGGGTCTGGGACCTGCAGGAAGCCTGGGTAGGGGCAAAGGGGTAAATGCAACCCACGGAGCCCATAGACACATGCAGAGACCCCATAAACATGTAGAGACCCCATAGACCTCCACAGACCCCATAGACACCCATAGAGACCCCACGGACCCCATAAACACCCATAGAGACCCCACGGACCCCATAAACACCCATAGAGACCCCACAGACCCCATAGATACCCTTAGACCCCATAGACACACAGACCCATAGACACACACAGACACCCCTCCGTGGACCCCCATAGACACCTATAGCCACACATATACGACCCCATACACCCCCACAGACCCCATTAAACCCCCATTAGACCCCGTAAGACCCCTCCTTACATGGTGGACGGCCACGGGTGATGCCGTGGGTGCTGCGGAGGCTGCGCAGGGCATGCACGATGCTGAGCGTGAACTCCATGGCGGCCTCGGCCTCCTCATCCTGCCAACAGTACTGGGGGGGGGGCACAAATGGGGGGGTCAGACACCCCAGTGACACCCATTGCCCACAGACACCCCCATTGACACCCCTCACTGCCCCCCCCCCCCCCATTGCCCTCCACTGCCCCATTACCTGTCGGGGCTCGGGGAAAGGGCAGACACAGATGCTGGGGGCCAGGGGGGGCGCGGGGGACGCAGGGGGGGGCAGCCGCTGCCACAGCTCCTCGCTCAGGAAGGGCATGAAGGGGGCAAGGAGCCGGAGCCCCGCGTCCAGGCACGTGTGGAGAGTGTCCCGCACCGCGAGCGCCGCGGCCTCCGCGTCCACTGCATCCACTGCGTCCACTGCATCCGCTGCGTCCCCCTCTGCGGCCCCATCAGCATCTATGGGGGGGTCATCAGGGTCCCCCCCACCCACGGGGTCTGAGGCAGCGGCTGCTCGAGCCAGAACCGGCTTCACGCACTCCTGAATGATGGAGAGAGATGGAGACTGCATGGACCCACATCCCATAACCCATATCCGATACCCACTACCCACATCCATTACCCCATATACCCCATATTTCACACCCCATATCCCATATACAATACCCCACATCCCATACCCCATATACCCCATATACCCCATATCCCATACACCCCATATCCCATACTCCATATCCCATATACCTCATATCCCATATCCCGTACCCCATACACCCCATATACCCCACACCTTGCAGCCCCATCCCATACCAGGTACACGTCACAGAGCTCGTACACCCAGAACCGATGTACTGCCGTGGTGGCTCCAGGGAAGTCAAACTCCTCCATTGCAGTGCACACAGCCCACACGGTGCGGCTCAGGCGGCTCCGGACCCACCGCTCAGCCAGACCCGGCTGGCCCCGCACCTGCCCCACACATGGGGGAAAGATCCACAAGTGGGGATCAGAGCCATAACTCGGGTCCCCAGTGGTACAAATGGAGTCCCAGCCCCTCAAGTGCCCCTTTCCCCATACCTGGAGGTCAGGGGGGGGGTGGTAGCTGCCCCCCAGCGCCTGCAGCACGAACCGGGCCCCGTTCCACACCTTGTTACAGAAGTGCCGGTACCCGAGAACCCGCATCACATCCAGGTTGATGTCCCGGCCTGGGAATATGGGATATGGGGTATGGAATATGGGGTATGAGATATGGGATACAGGGTATGAGATATGGGACATGGGGTATGGGACATGGATCCTACCCTGGGCTGTGTAAGCACACAGAGCAAAGCGCAGCGCGTCCGTCCCACACTCTGGAATCCCATTGGGGAAGTCACGTTTCTGCAGGGGGTTCCCATAGGAAGGGGTCACAATAAACCCCCCATCACTCTCCCTCCCAGCCCCACAAGTGCCCCCCTACCTGCCCCTCCCGCGCCCGCTGCAGCTCCGCAGGCTCCAGGTTGCTGTTCTCCAACTGCTCATGCAGCCCCTGCAGGGGACACAGGACACTGGTGGGGACCCCCATACACCCCCAGAGACCCCCATAGACACCCCATAGACACTCCATGAACTGCCCACAGACCCCCACAGACCCCCCACAGACTCCCCATAGTCCCCCCCACACCTGCAGGGAGATCCCATGGATCACATCCAGGGGGTCGATGACGTTCCCGAGGGATTTGCTCATCTTCCTCCCGTGTGCATCCCGCACGATGGCATGGAGGTAAACCTGGAAAAGGGATGGGGATGGGATAATGGAGTCTGGTGTGTTTCAGGATGGTTTCGGGGTGGTTTTGGGGTGGTTTTGGCCACACCTCACGGAACGGCAGCCGTCCAGTCAGCGCCAGCCCCAGCATCACCATCCGCGCCACCCAGAAGAAGAGGATGTCGTGTCCCGTCTCCAGCAGCGTTCCTGGGTAGAACACGTCCAGGTCCTCGCTCTGTGGGTGGAAACAAGGGTCAGGGACCCAAAACACCCAAAAAAACCCCAAAAAGGCCCCACCCCCCCCCATTGCTGCTCACTGGTTCGGGCCACCCGAAGATGGAGAACGGGAAGAGGCCGGAGGAGAACCAAGTGTCCAGAACGTCCTCATCTGCAGTGGGGGTACAGGTTATGGGAAGTAACAGAGACCCACCTGCTGACCCATTGCGCTCATTGCCCTCCCTTGCCCCCAGTGCCCCCATTACCCCCACTGCCCCCCATTACCCCCCATTCTGACCCTGCCGCAAGGTCACTTTCTCTGGGGCCACCCTGAAGCGTTTCGCTGCCTTCTCTCGAGCCTCATCCTCGGTTCTGCCGCTGACCCAGAACTTCCCTTCCCCGTCCTGCAGAGACCCATAAAGTGACCCATAATGCCCCATAGAGCCCCACAGAAACATAGAAACAGATAGAGCCCCGTAGAGACACACAGCGGGACCCACAGAGTGACCTATGAACCCGTCAATGGACCCACAGATGACCCCCAGCATCAGCCCCCTCCATGCTTCCAGCCCCAGAGCAAAGGGTCCCATCTCTCCCCTCCAGTCCCCTGATCCACTGCAGCCCCCAACAGCCCCCCCTCCAGCTCCATAGCACCCCCCATACCCCTAGCACCACCCAGTCCCTCTCCAGCCCCACTCATAGAGCCCCCCAGCCCCATAGAAACCCACAGAAGCCCCAAAACACGCCCCCCAGCCCCATAGCACCCCAGCCCCACACTGACCTTGCCAGGGGGGATGCTGGGGTCGTCGACGGTGACGAAGTAGGCGGGGATGCGATGGCCCCACCAGAGCTGGCGGGAGATGCACCAGTCCCTGCGGGGGGGGGGGGACGTTGGGGGCAGCCCCACGGCGGGGGGGCACTATGGGATCCTCATAGGGCTGTGGGCAGGGCCTTCCCCCCCAAAGCAGTATGGGGCAGGTTCACTTTGGCTCTATGGGTCAGTGCTATGGGCCAGCAATATGGGTCACTATCAGTCAGGTCTATGGTTCAGCTCTATGGGCTGCCAAGGATCAGGACTATGGGTCATGCTATAGGTCACACTATGGGTCACGCTGTGGGCTGGGTGTGGCTTGTGCTATGGATCACGCTAAGGGTTGGGCTACGGGTTGGGTGCGGGTCAGGGCTATGGCTCACGCTATGGGTCACTGTGGGTGTCTATGGGTCGCAGTGGGGCACTCACCGGATGTTGTCCATCCACTGCAGCCAGGTGCGGGTGTGCGTGGGGGGGCGCAGGCGGAGCTCCCCTCCCCGCACGACGGCCGCGGCCGCCGCAGCCAGAGCGGAGCAGCGCAGGAACCACTGCGGGCGCAGCACCGGCTCCAGCACGTCCCGGGACCGGCTGGGGGGCAGAAACCCATTGACACCACATAGGGACCCCGTAGAGACGCCATAGAGACCCATAGAGACCCCATAGAGACCCATAGGGACCCACTGACACCCCATAGAGACCCAAAGGGACCCCATAGAGACCCCATAGAGAACCATAGAAACCCATAGGGACCCCATAGAGACCCACAGAGACCCCATAGAGACCACATAAAGACCCATGGGGACCCTATACATCCCACAGACCCCCTGCACCCACCTGCAGATGGGGACCACCATGGGGTTCTCAGTGACTCCCCGGAACAGCCCCAGCTCCTTCAGCGCCTCCATCACCGCGGTGCGGGCCTGGAAACGTGGCATCCCCTGTGGGGACACAGAGCCCCATGGAGACCCATAGAGCCCACAGAGCCCCACAGAGCCCCATAGAGCCCCATAGCATCCCCTGGGGTGCCCCCACGCACCAGGAAGGGGGGGGGCACATCCTGCAGCCGCCCCTCATCGTCCAGAATGCAGGGAGAGGGCAGGTGGTGCCGCTGCCCCACCTCGAAGTCAGTGGCATCATGTCCAGGGGTGACCTTGACCGCGCCTGGGTGGGAGATGAGGCCCCACATAGAGCCCCATAGACCTCCATAGATCCCCCCAGAGAGCCCCACAGAGACCCATAGAGACCCATAGACTTCCACAGACCCCCCATAAAGCCCCAGAGAGCGCCACAGAGACCCATAGACCTCCACAGACCCCCCCGAGAGCCCCATAGACCTCCACAGACCCCCCATAGAGCCCCATAGATCTCCATAGATCCCCCCATAGAGCCCCACAGAGACCCATAGAGACCCATAGACCTCCACAGACCCCCCATAAAGCCCCAGAGAGCGCCACAGAGACCCACAGACCTCCACAGACCCCCCATAGAGCCCCACAGACCTCCACAGACCCCCCCCCATAGAGCCCCATAGACCTCCATAGACCCCCTCATAGAGCCCCACAGAGACCCATAGAGACCCATAGACCTCCACAGACCCCCCATAAAGCCCCAGAGAGCGTCACAGAGACCCACAGACCTCCACAGATCCCCCATAGAGCCCCATAGACCTCCACAGACCCCCCATAGAGCCCCATAGACCTCCACAGACCCCCCATAGAGCCCCATAGACCTCCATAGACCCCCCCCATAGAGCCCCACAGACCACCACAGACCCCTCACCGGTGCCGAACTGGGGGTCCACGAAGGGGTCGTGCAGCACCGGGAGTCTCTGGCCCGTGAATGGGTGAAGGACATAACGGCCACGGAGGTGCTGGGGAGGGATGGGGAGGGCGGGGCTTGTCTCGAAATGGCCACGCCCACTCCATAGACACAAACCCCGCCCCCTATGGATGAAGCTATGCCCCATTGCCTAAAGTCATGCCCCCATTAGCTGAAGTCACGCAGCCATTGGCTGAAGCTATGCCCCCATTAGCTGAAGTCACGCAGCCATTGGCTGAAGCTATGCCCCATTGGCTGAAGTCACGCAGCCATTGGCTGAAGCTATGTCCCCACTGGCTGAAGTCACACAGCCATTGGCTGAAGCCCCCCCCCGCCTAAGCCCCGCCCCTCACCGTGTACCGCGGGTCCTCGGGGTGCACGGCCACCGCCACGTCCCCCAGCATCGTCTCCAGCCGCGTGGTTGCCACCACCAGCTCCTGCCCCTCCCCTGCAGGGCCAGACCCACACATCAGGCGCTATGGGGCAGCCCCACTGCTGCCCCCCTCCATGTGCTTCTCAGCCCCTATGGGGCCTACCCCACAGATTCCCCCCCCCCCATGGTTCTCCCCCCCATAGATACCCCACCCCCTCCATGGGTCCTCCAACCCCTTTGGGTCACCCACCCATAGTCAGCCCCCTATAAGTCCTCCACCCCCTATGGGTCTCCCCACACGTACATCCCCCCATGGGTCCTGCATCTCCTACGTGTCCCACCCCATAGATACCCCACCCCTTATGGGTCCCCCCCACAGAGACCCCCCTATGGGTCCCCTCTCACCGCTGCCCTCCAGGGGGTAGGCGAAGGCCACCAGGACCCCGAACTCAACCGGCTCCTCATAGCCTGGAACCCGCAGCAGCGTCCGGCCCGAGAGCTCCCGCTTCTCCACCTATGGACCCCATAGGGACCCATAGGGACTCACAGAGACCCACAGAGACCCACGGGCCCCATAGCCCCTATGTTACCTCTATATCAGATATAGCTGAGCGCAGGGCACAGCTCCAATGCACCATCCGGGTGCTGCGATAGATCAGGCCCTGCTCGTGGAGCCGCACAAAGGCCTCACACACGGCGCGGCTCATCTTCTGTGGGGCACAGGGGGTCAGGCACAGCGCCCCATAGACAATCATAAACACCCACACAGACCCCCACAGACCCCCCAGAGAGCCCCTCATAGACACCCCATAGACCCCGTCAGCCCCACAGACCCTGCCCCCAGATGCACAGATCCGTCCCCCAGCCCCATAGACCCACATGGACCACAGAGACCCCCCAGCCCCATAGATCTCCTCACAGGGTCCATGGTGAAACAGGCCCGGTCCCAGTCCATGGAGGCCCCCAACTGCCGGAGCTGCTGATAGATGCGGTCACCCTTCCTGCGAGAGACGGCAGCCATGGGGTGGTTGTGGGGCTGGGGGCACTACAGGGCTGGGGGTGGCTGTAGGGCACCATAAGTATTGGCCACAGGGCAGCCATGGGGCAGTGCTACGGGGCACGCTATGGGCACGCCATGGGTCAGTGCTATGGGTCAGACCATGGGTTGCTGTAGGGCAGCAATGCGTCTCTACAGGTCGCTGTGGGTCACTCACTCTTGCTTCCATGCCCACACCTCCTGCAGGAAGCGCTCGCGGCCGAGCTGGTGGCGCGTGAGGCCCCGCGTGCGCCAGAGCCGCCGCTCCACAACCACCTGCGTGGCGATGCCGGCGTGGTCGCAGCCCGGGTTCCACAGCGTCGTCAGCCCCCGCATGCGCTGCCTGCGGGGAGAGAGAGGCACGCGTGGGGCGGGCGCCGCGGGTCCCTACGGGTCCTGCTGTGGGGCTCTGCGGGGCGCTATGGGGCTCACCACCGCGCGAGGCTGTCCTGGATGGCGCTGGTGAGCGCGTGGCCCAGGTGCAGGGCTCCGGTGACGTTGGGGGGGGGGACGCACATCATGAACACCCCCCGCGGGTTGGGCTCCGAGACGCGGCTCCGCTGCGGCACAGGGACCCTCGCACCAGGGCCCGCGTGAGGACCCCTCCCCCCCGGCACGGGGCCCCCGTGGGCTCACCCCGTACTCCGGCTTGAAGAAGCCCTCCTGCTCCCACCAGCTGTACCAGGCGGCCTCCACGTAGCGCGGGCTGTAGGAGGGGGGCAGCGGCACCGACACATCTGTGGGGACAGGGGGTATGGGGTGTGGGGCATGGGGTGTGGGATATGGGGTGTGGGGTATGGGGTGTGGGATGTGGGGTATGGGGTGTGGGATATGGGGTGTGGGATATGGGGTATGGGGTGTGGGGTATGGGGTGTGGGATATGGGGTGTGGGATATGGGGTGTGGGGTATGGGGTGTGGGGTGTGGGATATGGGGTGTGGAATATGGGGTGTGGGTATGGGGTGTGGGATATGGGATATGGGGTATAGGATATGAGATATGGGGTGTGGGATATGGCATAGGGGGGTTGGGATATGGGATATGGGGTGTGGGATATGGGATATGGGGTATAGGATATGAGATATGGGGTGTGGGATATGGGATATGGGGTATGGGGTGTGGGATATGGGATACGGGGTGTGGGATATGGGATACGGGTTGTGGGATAGGGGGTGTGGGATATGGGATACGGGGTGTAGGATATGGGGTGTGAAACATGGGGTGTGGGATATGGGATATGAAGTATGGAATATGGGATATGGGGTATGGATTATGGGATACTGGGTGTGGGATATGGGATATGAGGTATGGAATATGGGGTGTGGGACATGGGTGCTCCCCTTCACCTTTCTTCTGCCCCGGGGGGGTCTCCAAGTCATAGGTCACTACCCCAGGGGGGCGGCGCTGCCGGCGGGAGGGTGGAGCCTGTGGAGACCACGTGACTTGTGAGACCCACATGGATCCTCAGAGACCTGCCATGGGTCAGCTCCTCTACGGGTCTCTATGGGTCGCTCTATGGGTCTCCCCTCACCTGCTGCTCCCGGATCTTCTCCTGTTTCTGTTGGAATTTCTCCAGTTTCTCCCGTTTTTTCGCCTCCTTCTTCAGCTGCGCCGCGCTCTTGGCTGGGGCAGGAGCAGCCTGACCCACAGCAGCCTGACCCATAGCAGGCTGACCCATATCATCCTGTTCCACAGCATCCTGCCCCACAGGGTACAGCTCCAGGGTTCCCAGGTCCACTGTGGAAACAACTAAGTTGCATCTCCAGCCCAATTCACCCCCAGCCCCACACCCACCCCATGGCACTCACGCTGTGGGGCAGAGGCCTCGTCCCCACACAGCCCCACATCTCCCAGCACTTCACGGAACTGGGGCAGCCGCACACAGGTCTTGAACCAGCGACTGACGCTGGGGACAGTGGCAACGGTGGCGGCATCCAGGACCTTGGACATAAACATGGATGTGGGTATGGGATATGGGGTATAGCATATAGGATGCAAGAATATGGGATATGGGGAATGGGATACAGGGATATGGGATACAGGGGTATGGGGTATGGGATAGGAGGTACGGGATAGGGGGTATGGGATATGTGAAATGGGATATAGGCTATGGGATACAAGGATAGAGGATATGGGATATGGCATACAGAATATGGGATACAGGAATATGGGATATGAGGTATGGGATATAGAATATGGGATATGTGATATGGGATACAGAGACATAGGATATGGGGTATATAATATGGGATACAGGGATATGAGATATGGGATATAGAATATGGGATATGTGATATGGGATACAGGGATACAGGATATGGGTATGGGGTATGTAATATGGGATACAGGGATATGGGACATGGGGCCTGGGGTCACTCACGCGCTGGCAGGGCCCCAGCAGGGCGCAGGTCACGGTCACATCGGCCAAGGTGACCCCATCGCCCACCAGGAACGTGCGGTCCCGGAGGTGGGAATCGAGGGCCCGGAGAGCGCGGAGCAGCTCCTGGTGCGCCCGTGCCCGGGCCTGCAGGGACAGAGACACGGAGCCCCATAGAGACCCCACAGAATCCCACAGCACCCCACAGAGACCCCATAGTGCCCCACAGAGATCCCACAGAGACCCTACAGCGCCCCATAGAGACCCTATAGTGCCCCAGAGAGACCCCAGAGCTCCCCATAGAGACCCTATAACGCCCCGCAGAGACTGACAGACCCCACAGACCCCTCACAGAGCCCCACAGACCCCCCATATCCCCAGAGTCCCCCACAGACATCCCACAGAGCCCCACAGACCCCCCATATCCCCAGAGTCCCCCACAGACATCCCACAGAGCCCCACAGACCCCCCATATCCCCAGAGTCCCCCACAGAGCCCCACAGACCCCCCATATCCCCAGAGTCCCCCACAGACATCCCACAGCCCCCCCCGGCCCCTCGCCGTTACCTGCGCGCTCCCCCCCGCCGCGATGGTCGCGGCCGGCGCGATCTCTCGCTCGGCGAAGCTCACCCATTGGCGGACGAGCGCGCGCGGGGCGGGGCCGCTCCCCCCGAGCAGCGCCGGGGGGCTCAGGAAGAGCGCGGCGGGGCCCGGCCCGCGCAGCAGCGCCCCCTGCGGGGTGCGCAGAGCAGGCCCCGCTCCGGAGCGCACCACGCGCAGCGCGGGGGGGGGCGGCCCCGCAAAGCGAGCCGCGATCAGCACCCGGCGCGAGCCCGCGTCCGCGGGGGGGGGAGGCAGCAGCAGCAGCGCGGGGGGAGCCGGCGGGGACATCGCTGGGGGAGGGGGGGAAGGGTTAATGGGGGGTACGGGGGTACTTGTGGGGCTGGAGGGGGTAAGGGGGGGTACGGGGGTACCTGTGGGGCTGGAGGGGTTAATGGGGGTACGGGGGTACTTGTGGGGCTGGAGGGGGTAAGGGGGGGTACGGGGGTACTTGTGGGGCTGGAGGGGGTAATGGGGGTACGGGGGTACTTGTGGGGCTGGAGGGGGTAAGGGGGGGTACGGGGGTACTTGTGGGGCTGGAGGGGGTAAGGGGGGGTACGGGGGTACTTGTGGGGCTGGAGGGGGTAAGGGGGGGTACGGGGGTACTTGTGGGGCTGGAGGGGGTAAGGGGGGGTACGGGGGTACTTGTGGGGCTGGGGGGGACTTATGGGGCTGGAGGGGTTAATGGGGGGTATGGGGGTACTTGGGGGGCTGGGGGGGACTTATGGGGCTGGAGGGGTTAATGGGGGGTATGGGGGTACTTGGGGGGGCTGGAGGGGTCCTGGGGGAGCCCTTGGGGGACAGAAAGAACCGGGGGGGGGGGGAGAAAACGTGGGGGCTGCGGGGTCCTCATGGGTCTGAGGGGCACCAGAGTGTGGGATCTGGGGCCTTGGGGGTACTTGTGGGGCAGAAGGTTCCGGGGGAGACAATGCGGGTACCGAAGGGGGGCACTTGGAGGTCTGGAAGCGCTGGGGGGAGGGGGGAGTGTCACCCGGTGGTGTCACGTGGTCCCAGTGTGTTTCCCCCCCCCCATCCCCGGTACCTGTGGCTGAAGCGGCGGCGGCGGCGGCGGGGAGGAGCCACGTGGGGCAGGGTGACGGGCGCACGCACGGGACGCCACCCTCCCATTGGCTACCGCTGACGGAATGGGCGGGGCTCCCTCAACCGACGGAGGCGGGGAAAGCAAAGCGGTGTCGCGACGCCCGCAGCGCCCCCTGGCGCCTGAGGGGTATAACACCCCCCGCCATTAACAATAAAACGGGGCTTTGGGGAGCCCCAAATCCACTCGAAACCGCCCCAAAATCATCCCACCCCCAGCGCACACACACACACAGACACACAGAGCGGGCATCGTGTTTATTGAGGGGGCGTTGGGTGTCTTAGTGGGGTGTGGGGTATTTTAGGGCCATTTTGGGCTGGTCTGGGGGGGTTCCAGCCGCAATCACTGCTTCTGCTGCAGCGCCTCCTTGCGGGCCGCGTCCTGCAGCAGCTGCGTGTCCACCTCGTCCGCCGGGAGCTGCACGTAGCGAACCACGGAGCCCCGGATGAAGCAGTTCTTGACCGACAGCTGGGGGGGCGCCAGAGACACCATGGAGACCCCATAGGGACACATAGAGACCCCATATGGACCCCTAGGGGCACCCCTGGACCCTGTGTTTGGGTGAGAGACCCCAGGACCACCCCCAGACCACCTCCAGTATCCAAGTGGGGATGCACCCAGGGACCCCCCCAGACCCTATAGAGAAAAATAGAGGCCCATAGAGACACAAAGACCCCCAAAAACTCCAGAGAGACCACATGGACCCCCCATAGGCCCCACGCACCCTTCTTAACCTCCTGTCCCTCCCGATAATCCCCTCATAGCCCCCATGGAGGGGGCCCCTCACCATGTGCGGGTACTTCTCGGGGTCTGTGACGCTGATGTCCGTCAGCTTAATGTTGAGGTACTGGGGGGGGGGGGGGTGTTAGAGACATCATAGATCCCCCCAGCCCAACAGATACCCCCACTGACCCTCCAGAGCCCCACAGATACCCTCCAGAGCCCCCAGGATGTCCCCAGAGCCCCATAGATGCCCCCGGAGTGCTCTTCAGAGCACCACAGATGCCCCCAGAGCCTCACAGATTTCCCCAGAGCCCCATAGATGCCCTCAGAGTCCCCCCAAGAGCCCCACGGGTGCCCCCTCCCTGCCCCACAGCCCCCCATACCTGATCCACTGAGTGCAGGGTCCCACAGATGCTGCAGAGAGAAACAGGAGCTCAGGGGGACTCAGATGTGGGGCTCTACAGAGGGGACTGGGCTGGGGAGCCTATAGGAGGCTGTTCATGGGGGCTATAGGGAGTTATGGGGGGGATGGGGGGCTATGGGGTGTCCATAGGGCGTCCATGGGGTCTCTATGGGTCCGTGCTCACCTGAGATCGTTCTTGAGCTCCACCACCACGTCCTTCCCCACCAGGGACTTAAAGAAGGAGTAGAAGAGCTGCGGGGGGGGTCACCGGGAGGTCACCGCGGGGTCACGACCCCCCCCCCCCCCCCCCGTTCCCCCCGGTCCCGCTCTCACCATCACGGCCGCTGCGGAGCCTCCCCCCCACCCAACCTCCCGCCAGCCGCGCGCCCCGCCCCCTTCCGCTGCCGGGGACACGCCCACTTCCCGCTTTGACCACGCCCCGTCTCCCGCCGCTGTGGCCACGCCCCCTTTTCCCGCCCCTCCGTGGCCACGCTCTCTTCCTCCGAGGCCACGCCTCTCCGGACGCGGGGGCAGCGCGGGAAGTGACTCACCCGCCCCCCTCCTCGGGAGAAGGGCAAAGGTCAAGAGGAGGGGCCCCGGGGGGGGGAACACCCGCACGTGTGTCACGTGTCACGTGTGTGCCCCGTATCACATGTCACACATGTGACACATGTCACGCATGTCACACATGTCACACATATCATACATGTACACATGCCCTCCCCATAACTCCCCATGGCCCATGTGTGACATACATGTGCAACATGTACCCCATGTCCCGTGCCCCACATCTCATGTCCCATGTCCCACGTCCCACATCCCGTGTCCCACGTCCCGTGTCCCGTGTCCCTCCCATCCCGCACATCCCACGCTGGGCAGGACCCGGGTGGGGACGGACCGGGCCGACCGGCCCCGTGGTGGCCCCGTCAGCGGCCCCGTCACCCTCCTGTCACCCATCACTGTCACCAGCACTGGCCCCAGCTCCCGCCATGGGCATTTAAGGGAAGCCCCACGGTCCCACAGCACCCACAGGACCTTCAGGTGAGCAGGGACATGGGGCAGGGGAATACAGGGATATAGGGATATGGGATACGGGATGTGGGACATGGGGTGCGGGTCTGACCCCCATGTCCCCCGCTATGGACTAGGATGTGTTCCGGTGCTCAGTGTCTGGTGAATCTCCTGCGCTGGATCTGGGGCATTGTACGGCGCCTCTGGGGAGGGCACGGAGGTGAGTGGTACCCATGGGGGGGTATGGATCCCATGGGGGGGTATGGATCCCATGGAGGGGTATGCATCCCATGGGGGGGGGGTATGGATCCCATGGAGGGGTATGGATCCCATGGGGGGGGTATGGATCCCATGGGGGGATATGGATCCCATGGGGGGGTATGGATCCCATAAGGGGTATGGATCCCATGGGGGGGTATGGATCCCATAAGGGGTATGGATCCCATGGAGGGGTATGGATCCCATGGGGGGGGTATGGATCCCATGGGGGGGGTATGGATCCCATGGGGGGATATGGATCCCATGGGGGGGGATGGATCCCATAAGGGGTATGGATCCCATGGAGGGGTATGGATCCCATGGGGGGTATGGATCCCATGGAGGGGTATGGATCCCATGGGGGGGGTATGGATCCCATGGGGGGATATGGATCCCATGGGGGGGGATGGATCCCATAAGGGGTATGGATCCCATGGGGGGCGGTGGCACCCATAGGGGGGACACCATGGGGGGGGTCAAGGTCACCGCTGACCCTTCCCCCTTTCTCTCTCCCCCCACACACAGTGACCCCCCCGCCTCCCCCTGCAGCTGAAAGAAGGACACTGGTGCCGGACAAAGAGGACTGAGCCCGCCCCCCCGGACCTGACCCCCCCCAATGGGGATCTTGAACCCCTCCATAGAGACCCTGAACTCCACTGGGAGCACTCCAGGCAATAAATACCCTTGAAGCCACGTCCATGTCTGTCTGTGTGGGAAATGGGGATCCTCATCCCCATCCTCATCTTCATCCCATCCCCATCCTTGTCCCCATCTCATCCTCATCCCCATCCCATACTCATCCCCATCCTCATCGCCATCTCATCCTCATCCCCATCCCATACTCATCCCCATCCTCATCGCCATCTCATCCTCATCCCCATCCCCATCCCATACTCATCCCCATCCTCATCCCCATCCAATCCTCATCCCATCCCCACCCTACCCTCCACCTCATCCTCATCACCTCCCCATGATGGCCATCATCACCCCATGGCAATGGGGGGCAATGGGAGGCAATGGGACGAGGACCCCTTGGAGATGCCCATAGATGGGGCTGGAGTGCCACCCTCTCTATTATCAATGCCAGGAAGATATCAATTAGCTCTAATGACCCTGATGAGCCGCACCCGGCTCCTCCATGACTCATTCCCTGCCTGATCCTGGCTCTGCCCCATCCCTGTGGATCCACCCCATGTTCAGTTGTTCCCACGTTCCATGGACATCAGGAAGAGTCTTGAGGCAAACCCAATCCCGACTCCAATCTGTTTCCCACCCTTTGCATCCCATTTGCCCATTGAACTGGTTGCACTGGGCTGGGGATAGGGCTGCGATCAGGATCCCACCCGGGATCCCGGCTCCCGGTGGATGCTCCAGGGAACCCCTGGAGGAAAACCCCCCAAAACTCCCGTTTTTGCAGCATGATGGGAATAAATGTGTGGGTTTGGGATAAAATTAGGGGAAAACGGGATCATCTGGGGCTTGGTAGGAGAGAAGCGGCAGGAGCCGCTGCTCCCACGAGGGGGCTCCCGCTCTCCATAGACCCCGCTTTTCCCTGGGATGTCAAACCTCACCTGGATTGGGAAGAACGCACATCAATGGCCTCGAATTCCATTGGGAATGGCGCTGTTAACCCAGTCCTCGCCTCCAGCCAGGAAAACGTTTAAGATAGTGTGAAAACGTTCCAGGAGACCCCAGATCAGTGCACGAATTCCCATGTCATCCCAGTTCCCGTGCTCCTGGTGCCTGGAAAAGTTGGATTTCAGATAATAATCGGAACAATTGGATATTATGATTAATATCCCATTAATACGGGTCTGAGGGAGATGGTTGCCTTAGGAGGGGATAAGGGATAAAATGGAATAAATGAGATAAATAGGATAAAATGGAATAGGATAAATGGAATCCACAGGATAAAGCAGAATGTTTTAACTTCCAAACGTTGCTCCTAATGCCCTTCCCAAGAGCTGGCATCTGCCCCAGGGTAAAGGAAGTAAATGGGAAGAACTGGGACACTTTATCCTTGGAAACCTTCTGAGCATCCCTGGTTATTCCTCCCTCCATCCCGATTTATTCCTCTATCCCCATCTGCATCCTCTGCTCCATCTCGTCCCCATAGGGGCAAATAAGCCCCTATTGATTGGATAAATCTCTAATGATCCGTATGGATTTGAGCCGGGGGAGGGTAGAGGGATGGGGCGGAAGGTTGATCCTTGGGGCTGGGGTGGGGGGTAGGAAGGGGTTAAGGTCCCAGTCCCTTAGGAAAAGCCATCGGGAAGCTGCTGGGTTTGGAACAATGGGAGGAATAGCCCGGATGGCAGTTCTACCCCCTGCGGGGTGCAGGGGAGAAACCCCCCTGATCCCAACCTGAAGCCCCATTGGTGCTGCGATTCCCGGCGCCGGGAATGGGATCCTGGGTCAGCCATCACTTGGCATGTGCTGAGGTCCCATCCGCGCAGCTCCATTGGTGCTGCGCTTCCTGGGATACTTTGGTTGGAGCATCCCACACTTTATTCTTAGCCGAGCCCTCGGTCCATCCTGAGGCCGGGAATGGGCTCAGGGCTGCGGATGCTCCACCCTGGGACAGCCCCGGGGCTTTTCCAGCTGAATGGGATGTATGGATGGGCCATCAGGAGCCGCTGATCAGGAAGGGGGGGTGTGGGGGTGTGGGGGGGGTGGGGTGGGGGGAATGTTGATTCCCCTGGGAAAAGGAGTTTTTCCATAGAAATGGGCAATTGGAGCTCGTATTCCCCGTTTTTGACCCGATTTCTCCCGGGTTTGATCCTTTTCCCGTGCTGGTCCCTTCTCCCTGCTTCCCAGTGGGTTTGGTCCCCAGGGGTGTGGTGGCTGGACCTGGATCCGCAGGGATGAGCATCTCCAGGACCCGGTTCCCCAGGGATGCGCATCTCAGGTCCCAGTGCCCCAGGGATAAGCGTCTGGTTAAAAGGGGAGTAAAAGCGGGATAAGAAAGGGAAACGACGGGATAAAAAAGGAGGGAAAGAGGGAAAATCAGTGGGAAAAGGGGGGGGGGGAAGGTGAGACTCTCGGAAAAGGCGTTTTCCGCCCCAAAGCCGGTGGGGGGTGGGTGGCTCCCGCCGGGTCCCTCCCCCCGTCCAGGCCATGGCCGCGCTGGAGCGGGCCCAGGTACGGGGCGTCCGGAGCCGCGTTAATTCCGCGCCTTCTCCCGCGTTTGTCCCGTTCCTTCCGCGTTAATTCCCGTTCGATTCACTCCGGGAATAGCGCAAAACCGCGCTTTCTGGTGGGAACTCGTCGGGATTCGTTCGAGTTCGCACCTTTGGGTCGGGTCGATTCGGATGGGTTCGAGTTCTGGGAAGAAATCTCGTTTGTTCCTCTTTTAACTTCAGTTTTTCGGGTTTAGTTTTAATCTGAGTTTAATTATTTGGGGGGGGGGGTTAATTCATCATTTTTTAAAAAATTTGGGTCTTCGGGGCTTGGTGGAGTCTTTTTAATTTTAATTTTTTTATAATTTGGTCCTTTGGGGGCTTTTTTTTTTGTTTGGTCTTTGGTTCTTTCCAGGTTTGGGGTTTTTGGTTTTTTTTTTGGTCATTAGGACTTTTAAAATTTATTTTAATTCTTTTTCATTATTATTATTTTTGCTTAAAACGATTTTTTAAATTTTGATTTTGTGGGCTTTTTTTTCTTTTTTCCTTTCTTAAAAATCATTTTTTTGGGCTTTTTGGTGTGGGGGTTGTGGGGGTTTTGTGCATTTCTCTTCCCTTTCCCCTCTCTGCCGGTTACGATTGCTCCCGGTTTCATTCCGGAGCTCTCCCCACATCCCTGTCCCCATCTCCCCTCAGGTGCCGGAGGCGCTGCTGGAGGTCACGATTCCCACCTCCATCCCCAGCGCGGAGCAGCCGGGTCCTTCCTGCGCCCCAGCCCCGCCAGGTAGGAACGCCCCCCCCCCCCCCAAAAAAAAAAAAAAAGGCTGAAATTGCCCCCAAAAGGGTTAAAATTGCCCTCAGAAGAGCTAAAACTGCCCCCAAAAAGTTAACAGGGACGATCTCTGGTGGGATGGGGGTGTCCTAGAGGGATGGGGGGGGTGGTCCTACCTGGACCCAGACCCACAGCGCCCTCTCCTGACGGCTCCTGGCCGCTGCAACGGGACTCTTGGGGGGGGGGGGGGGGGGCGGGGCGCGGGATGGAGAAGGCTCCAGGTCTCTTCCAGCCGGGAAACAGGAGCTGTGGGATCAAGGTGAGAACTGGACATCCAGAGCTCTTGGTGGGATGGGGAACAAAGCTTCGAGGTACCTGCTGGTTGTTGAGCTGCTGCACAAGGGTGGCATCACTGCTTCTGCTCTTCCAGGTGTTATCTCTGGGGTTTTCCAGCCCTCCCTGAGTGTTCCCAGACGGACAATCTCCACCTTTCCCCTGCTTTTGGTCTCAGGGCTGGTCTCTTTCCTTATTCTTTGAGAAGCCTTCTCCATCACCTTGTAGGCACACCCCACATATCCCGCCCCCCCCCCCCCCCCCCAGGAATTCCCTCCCCGGGAGACCTGGATTCTCCTTTTCTTCCCAAAGAGGGCTGAGGGTCAATGCCTCCTGATGGTCACTGCCCACCCATTGCCATCAACCTTCACAGGCTTCAACGTGTACAACCCGGCCCTGCTGCAGCAAGGGGAGGACATTTGGATCCCGGGAATCCCGAGCTCCGAGGAGGAGGAGGAGGAAAGGGCCAGACCCCTTCTGATGCTGTGGTCCAGAAGCAGGAAGCAGTGGAGGAGCTGTTGGGATGTCGGAAGGTCCTCTGCATCCGTCACATCCTCAGGTAAAGGACCTGGGGGGGTTGGGTGCTTCAATCCATCCTTTCCCAAGGGTGGATTCTCTTTATCCTTTGGGTGCTTCTCCCCATCCATCCTCAAGGGCAGATTCCCGTTATGCTCTGCCTTATCCCAGCAGATGATGGATGGACAAGCGACACTAAAGAAGACAGCTCCTACGGAGACGATGGCAGGATGATGAAGAGATCCAAAGGCAGCATCTCCGTGGGCTGCAAGCCCCATGGGAGGAGATCATCTTCATCCGGCTACAACAGGAGGAAACCTTATCCCAAGACACCGCCAGAGCAGCACAAGTGCGGGAAGTGTGGGAAAAGCTTCAGCCGCGGCTCATCCCTCATCCGGCACCAGCGGGTCCATGTTGGGGAGAAGCCCTTCACGTGCTACATCTGCAGGAGCAGCTTCGCCTGCAGCTTCATGCTGCAGGACCATCAGCAGAGCCAGTGCCAGAGGAAGCCCCACAAGTGCCCCACGTGCGGGAAGCGCTTGGCCTCCACCAAATCCCTGCGGAAGCACCAGCGGCTCCACGGAGAGAGCATGGCGTACCGGTGCTCTGAGTGCGGGAAGGCCCTCACGTCCAAGTCGTCCCTCGTCACCCATCAGCGCATCCACACCGGGGAGAGGCCGTTCCCATGTCCCGATTGCGGGAAGAGCTTCATGGCCAACAAGTCCCTGAAAAAGCACCGCAAGATCCATGTGGAAGGATCTCTCTTTGTGTGTCCGGAATGCGGGAAGAAGCTGATGTCCAAGTACACCTTCATCACCCACCGGAGGCTCCACACCGGGGAGAAGCCCTTCGAGTGTCCCGACTGCGGGAAGAGCTTCGCGGGCAGCAAATCCCTGAGCAAACACCGCAAGAGCCACATGGATCATGGCCCCTACAAGTGTGCTGAGTGCGGAGAGACCTTCCCAAAGAGGTCCTCCTTCATGGCCCATCTCCGGCAGCACCAGAATCTGCCTTCAGACGCCTTCTCCCGTGGGAAGCTCAGGAAGGTGAGGCCCCACCAGTGTCCTGATTGCGGGAAGGGGTTCCGGGACAGCACGAGCCTGCGGCGGCACCAGCTCGTCCACACCGGGGAGAAGCCGTTCAAGTGCCCCGAGTGCGGGAAGTGCTTCCGCGCCAGCTCCACGCTCATCATCCACCGCCGCATCCACACCGGGGAGAAGCCCTACGAGTGCTCCCAGTGCAGGAAGTGCTTCACGTCCAGCTCATCCCTAAGGAAGCACCTGAGGAGCTGCAAGGAGCTGCTGGGAGCGGGCAGTCGGTGACTTGGGTTTGGTACCTTGGGTGTGCAACTTGGGGATGGGTGGATGCATAGATGGATGGATGTGCACAGAATGGATGAGTGATGAATGGGTGGATGGATGAATGGACACCCCATCCCTCCCGTAAACGCCTTGCAACGTTGATTTCCACCTTTCCTCCCTGCACCCTCCCCACCAGAGCACGCTCTCAGGACCAAGCACACGGTTGTGGGTCACAGCACGGGGCTGGTGCATCAGGAATGGCTGGAGGAGATCATCCAGCTCCTCCTTTGGAGCCTAAAGAGCCTCTTTCCATCTCCCACCTTCAAAACCACCTGAAAAGGATAAAGCCCATCCTGAAGCTGAGGGGTCCCCCCAAGATCCGGATCTTCTGTTCTCCAGACACAGGCTCTCCTCCCCATTTCCCCCCTCATGCTCTATCTCATTTGAGTGGTGTTGCTGCCACCCAGACCCACACCATGACAAACGCTATGGGGATGGGAACCTCCTCTGTGTGTCCCAGCTTCACCAAGAGGGGCAATAAATGAGCGTGGGTCTCCAGGAGTGTGGGGTTGTGATTTGATAGGGGGAACCCTCCATGGTTCCTCCATCTCAATGGCTCCGGCTGCTCCTGGAGCAGGGATGATGCTCCTGGATGTGGTTGTGCTGGAGGTTGAGAACTGGGGACATGGGACATGGTCCTGGTGGAGCTGGGGCTGGAGAATCCGAGCCTGCATCGTGGAGACGGAGAGGACATTCCTGGTGGCAGGATGGCCTCGGGCTGGGGGGGGGGGGGGGGGGAATTTCAGGTGTCAGAACACACTGGGGCTGTGGGATAGGGGTTAGCACCAGGAGTGGGGATATCCCATCCTCAGTATCCTTATAGATGGGCTTCTGGAGAGCTCCCAGAGGGGCCCCAGGGTGGGGAGAGGCACCAAGGGGAGTTTCACCGCCTGTTTTCCACAGGGAATCACATCCTTCCCAGGGGGATAACTCAACCCTATCCCCTTCCTCCCCTTTTTCCCTTTAAATACTATTGGGAATGTCACAGAATTCCCGTTTTCCCCCTTACTGTCACACACGAGGAGCCCCAGGTTTCCCTACGGAGGTAGCGTGGCCGAGCGGTCTAAGGCGCTGGATTAAGGCTCCAGTCTCTTCGGGGGCGTGGGTTCGAATCCCACCGCTGCCAGGTCCTTTTTGGGCACCACTGCTGCCACATTTGGAGGGGTTGCTCCCAACCCCCCCCCCCCCCCCCATATCTCCCAGCCCATCAGACGCCCACAGACCTCTGCTCTGAGTGTGGAGTTAAACAAATTCAGTGGAATTGAAGCTGCGAATTGATCCCTGCATGTTGTTCTTCGGGATGGGGGAGCCTCATCGCTTCCAGAACGCAGGGAAAGGCGAAGCATTGATCTATGAACAGGAGCCCTCTGGGGGTAGCCAAACCCCCTTTTCCACCTTCCCGCCCCCCCCCCGATAAATCCATATCCATGTCGCTGGTTCGCCATCGCTCCCATCCCCATTGCCCCCCCTCCACATCCGTGTTGTCCGTGGGTCTCTCTATGGGTCCATCCCTGGGTCAAGACCAGTAAACCCCAACCCATACAAAGCCCCATCTCCCCTTCACTCCGTGACTGGCGCCAGCATCATCCCATAGGAATTTAGGGAATGGTGTGGATACAATCAGTGCTGTTCAGTAAAGGATGCTCCGGAAGCTGGGATGCCCTATGGACACGGGATGGGGCAGGACGAAAACAATTGCCAAGAGAATTCCAATCAGTTCTTGGGAGCAAAACCGTTCTCTTACAGGGAAAAACAAGAAGAGCAGGAGCCCTCATGGGCAGAGGCGGAAGCTGGATCCCTTCCCCAGCCAGAAGAAGGGGAAGACGCTCTCCCCCCCAAAGGAAGCCGTTGGGAAGATGAACACGGGGGGGTCCCCCTCTGCCAGGTAAAACCTCACCTTGCCCCCCTCATAATCCAACACCACCCGCACCCTCCCGGCCCAACCGGTGCTGGGAATGGGGGTGACGGGGTCGGTGAAGGCGCAGAACTGGCTCCCGCAGCGCCCCATGGCCCAAACCCCTTGATCCGGCCGGAACGGGATCCAGCCCAGTCGGGGCACGGAGCCCCGGGCCACCCCCAGCGCCCAGGCGCCGGCCCCGGCCACCCCCACGGCCCAGTGGTGCGTTCCGGCCGCGAAGCCGGGGCTGCCCAGGACGCAGCAGGAACCATTGAAGCGCAGGGGGGAGCCCGGCACGTCCTGAGCCGTGCGCGACCACTGCGCCCCCCGGCGGTCCCGGGACACCACGAGCCGGGGGCTGGCGGTGGAGGGGTCCAGGGTCACAAAGGGAGCTGGGATGGAGGGAAAGGGAAGGGAGAGGGGCGTCAGCACCCAGGAATGGCCCGTGATGGACCCAGCACCGCGCATGGCCACTGGGAGCAGGGACACCCATGGAACCATGGCATGGTTTGGGTTGGGAAGGACTTAGCATCATCCATAGGGCAGGGACACCTCCCGTTAGACCAGGATGCTCCAAGACCGGTCCAGATGATGACTCATCCAAACCTTTTCCATTCAACCTGTCCCAGTGTCCCACCACGCTCATAGGGAATAACTTCTTTACATCCAACCCAAACTTTCCCTGTTCCAGTTTAAACCCATCACCCCATAGTTCCTGATGTCCAACATCCATCTCCATATCTTCCTGATTGCCTCGTGCTGGAGGACCCCTCTGTAGCCCCAGGAACCCCAAGGCTCCTCATTCCCAACCTTTTTAAGCCCAATTTTGCCTAAAAATGCCTTTTCTGGAGGCACTTTTCCAAAGGTCCTCACCTCTTCCATCTCCTCCTGGGGATGGTCCTTGCTCCTTCTCCAGTTCTGATAGCAAGGTGTCTATGGGATGAAGAACAAAGGTTGAATGGATCAAAGGATCTCAGGTAATGCTCGCTCCTGCTTTTCCCGGGAAAACAGGAAAACCAGGATGAACAGGGTAGATGGATCCATCACCCCCTGTACCTTGGAATGTCCCCAGTACGTCCTTAAGGACGCAGTTCTGTTGAGAGATGACCTGGAGCTTCTGCTCCAGGTCCTGGAAGGTCTCCGTTATCCCCCGGGAACTGTCCATCTCCAACCTGGATGTGACCTTAGTTGTGGGGCTGGGACCAAGCCTCCTGCACCCCACATCCTGTGGGGATGGGGAGGAGCTGGTCGTCCCCAGTGTCCCCGTGTCCCAAGCTGGAGATGCCTACAAGACACTTGGGTCCCATTGCCCCAGTGGCCAAGAGGAGCCGCCTCCTTGCCTCCAAACCTTGTTTTAAGCCCCGCCTTGAAGCCGGAATTCCCATGGGAATGGTACCCACGAGCCTACCCATGGGACACGAGTGGTGGAGGAGCACGTACCTGTCCACAGCACTTCGGGCATCCTGGGATAGAGACAGGGAGGGCCAAGCCTCATTCTCCCACCTCAATCCATTGGGAAAGCTCCATCCAAGGCAATGCCAAGGGGGAACATCCCACCTGCAGGAATGCGCTCCCAGGTCCCTGAAGCTGCTTCTCCATCGCACAGATGAGGACATTGAGGAGCGAGATCTCCCCCTGGATCTTGGTCTCCTCCTGCTCCTGCCTCCCCATGGCCTCCGTGTCCAGCTCTCCCAGTTGGAGCAGCAGGATCAGCTCCTGATCGCGCAGGAAGCGGCGCAGGCGCCGGAATTCCAACACAACCGCCTGCCTCTGCAGCTCCGTCCGTGCCTGCGGGACATGGGATGAGCATGGATTGCACTGGGATAACACCGCAGCTCCTAGGGATGAGGGCATCCACGTACCAGGTAATCCTGGCATCGCCTCTCGCCATGCGCCTTCCGTTCCCAAAGTGCTTCCTGGTGGGTCCTGAGCGTCTCCAGGTCCTTCCGTGTTTGCTCCTAGAAAAGTGGGTTGGGAGGGTATCCAGCAGGATTGGGAAGGGTGGGATGCTTGGAAGCAAATGGGCACAAGGACGGAGAAGACACAAGAGGAACCAGTCTCATTCTCACATGGGATAAACTGGAATGGGTTGGGAAGCGCCCTTCAAAATCCATCCAACCCCTATGAGGGACTCAAATGCCTGCTGGGATTTAGGCTCAGAATAACCATTTTCCTGGGTTTAGCACCAGGCTTGGGGTTATTCTTGTCTGGATCCCCCCAGTTATTCCCATGGGGATAAAGCCCAACTGTAGGGAACATCCAAGCTGCCTCCAAGCCTGGGATCCTGAGGAGCACCCAGAAACCCCTTAAGATGGTCAGGAAAGGAATAACCTCATTCATGGAGCTGCCTTTGTCCTGGATGGGCTCTTCTGTGCGGAGACCTCCACAAGTCCTCGGTCCATCATGTCTGGAGCTGGATGCCTCCGCATCCCATGGGATCCTGTGCCATGAGCAGAGCTGCTCCTTCTCCTGGCCTTCATCCAGACCCAGGAGCTTCAGCTTCTCCACCAGGTGCTCCAGGTGCTGCTTGGGCTGGAAGCTTCCTTTCCTGACATGGTTCCTATGGGCATCTCCAACGGAGCAGCACAGCCGGGATCGGGATGTTCCACCTCCATCCTGGCTCAGGGGACCAGGATCCTCATCCCTTGCCCCAGATGGACCAGAGGCCATGGATCCACCACTTCTTGTTCCCTTAGCTGCCTGCATGACATGGAGAGGTCTCAGCATGGAGCATCGGGAATCTCCGAACTCCTTTGGATGATAGTTTGGGAAGGGAGGAGTTGTCCTTCAGTAATCCCTGGACTTGGGCATCCATCTCCATCCATAGGAACCAACATGATGGTGGGAACCATCCTTTCATCCCCAAACTCAGTCTCCAACACGTCCCCCCATGGTGGCTTCTAATGGAGCAAAGCCAAGGCAGAGCCCTCCCAATGCCCACAATCCATGGATTTAGGGTCTTCCTGTCCCTGGGACCATCCCGAAGGAGCCACTTACCCCGTTGGCAGCAGCTCCTGGGTTGATTCTAATGGATCCTGGGGTTCTTCAGCCCATGGGGCTCCTCTCCAGCTGCGCCAGGGCTGCCTGGAGCCAGTCACATGCAGGATACAGGGATAAGATCATCCCTATTTAAGGAAACAGGCGAGGAATGTGCTGCCGGGACACGGCTCACTCCTACCCCTCAGGGGCCCCACTTGGACTTGTCCATCCCTTCTCCTCCCACTTGGGTCTTCTCCAGCCAACCCGCCCCATGGGGCCACCTCAGTGGGCAATGATGGAGCTTTGGGGTACTTGGGATGAGATCCTGCCTAGAATGATCCCACATGGAATGATCCAAGGACAGTCCTAACCCTGGAACCAGCCGCATAAAGCAATCAAATGCTCTGGAGAGGCTCAAGTGGTTTATTGTCCATTGGGAAGCACCTGCTGGGTGTCCAATTGTGGGGTGGGAGCCATGGTTCAAGGCTCTTGGAGCATGTAGGGATGGAAGAGGGATATCACAGGGATATCAAGGATATCAAAGGGATATCAGGGGACAGTGAGACGTGCATGGTGATGACCACAGTGTCCATCAGTGATCTCCCACAGCCCCCAAGGCTCTTCCATGGCTCCTCCAGCCCCTCCACACCAGGATGGTCACCGGCGCAGGGAGATGGAGCCCAGCTCCAGCCAGAACCAGGGCCGGAGCAGCTCCCCACGGAAGGATGCCGGAGGGAAGGTGAAGATGGGGACTTGGTTCTCCACATCAAAGAACCTCACCTCTCCCCACTCATAATCCAGAGACACCCGGATCCTCCTGGGCACCCGTGCCACGTTCAGGGCCGTGGGGGGGGATGTGAGGGCTCTGCTCTGGAAGCCCCATTGCTGCAGGGCCCAGATCCCCTCCTCGGGGCTGAAGCTGATGGGGCCCTTCCTCTTCAAGGAGGCCCTGCTGACGCCGATGGCGCAGTACTGCCCCTGGGCCACGTCCACCTCCCAGCAGTGCCGCCCGGAGGAGAAGGATTCGCAGCCCAGCACGCAGGGATCGGTGTCGAAGCGCTCGGGAACGTCAGGAGGCTGCTCCAGGCGGAATTCCCACCGCACACTCCGCAGCTCCGGGGACACGATGAGGCGTGGATGGGCTGTGGCTGGATCCAGCGTCACCTCCGCTGCAGAGGGGGAAGGGAAGGGGGAGGTTAACCCTGGAGCTGCTCCTTGTCTGGGACCGGGGTCCTCTGGGACATCTCATGGGTGTTTTGGTGTCATCTTGGGCATCTACAGGGGTTTTAGTGCCTTCCTTGACATCTGATGGGTGTTTTGGTGCCTTCCTTGACATCTAATGGGTGTTTTGGTGTCGTCTTGGGCATCTACGTGGGATTTTGGTGTCCTCTTGGCCATCCAGAGGGTGTTTTGTCTCTCAGGGCTCCCTGTGGTCCCTTCCAGAGCCCCATCACTCACCCATCGCATCCTTCTCCTCTCTGCCAGCACTCACCCATTGTCTCCTCTTCCTTCCCTAAGGACACACACAAAGCACTCACAGTGCTGCCGGGGGGGATCCTGGAGCCAGGGGGGGGATCCTGGAGCCAAGGGGGTATCCTGGAGCCAGGGGGGTCACTCACTGTGCTCCTGGAGGCACCTTCCTTCAGAGGAGAAGCCAAAGCCCTGTTACCATTGGGACATTCCTGGCCTTGTTTCCCCATTTCCCAGGTGATCCCATGATGTCCATGGATGTGGAACACCCACAAAGCCACATTCCCGCCCTTCCAACCCCCCAGATCCTCACTGGCTGCACCCAGGGTCACTCACGTGCTTTGGCTTTGTATTCCTCTGAGAAGAGAAGCAAAGGGAAAGGTCAGTGTGCGTTCCCAGAATTCCCAAAGTAATCCCAAATTCCTGTGCCCAGGGATTAGCATTGCTTGGATAATGAGATAAGATATGGAGAAGGGAAGGCTTCAGGGAGACCTTGGAGCAGCTTCCAGTGCCTAAAGGGGTGACCTGGGAAGGGGCTTCTATAATGGCACATAGGGATGGGATGAGGATAACTGCTCCCGAAAAGGGAAGAGTTGGATGGGACAATGGGAGGAAATTCCTCACTCTGAGGGTGGTAGGACACTGGAACGGGTTGAATGGAGAAGGTTGGGATGCTCCATCCCTTCAGGGTTGGAGCAACCTGCTCCAGTGGAAGGTGCCCCTGCACATGGTATTGAGTTGGAATGGGATGAGCTTTAGTCCCTTCCCACCCATTCCACACATCTCTCTTCCATCCGAGGCACTCACCGAGCTCTGCTGTGAGCTCCTCTGGAGAGTCAAGAGGAAAGGAAGGATTCCCATGAGAATTCCCAGTGCCAGGATCACACACACAGAGGTCTCAGGCCAGACCCTGCCACTCACCAATCCTCCTCTCCCGGGTCTCTATGGAAAGAGAAGTCAAAATCAATCCAAGTTATTCCCAGATGGATTTTTTCCAAATCCAAATCTCAAAGTGTGTAGTTGGAAGCAGGAAAACACTCACCAATCCCTGCAGACAGGTCACCTGAGAGAGAACAAATTCCAACTGATCCATCACCATCATCATGGCAATGGAAGCACAAGTGTAGGAGCAGGGTGGAGGTGGACACGTACCAATCCGGGCATCCCGTTGTCCTAAAGGAAGGAAAACAGATGGAAAAGGGAGGGAAAATGAGTTATTCCCCAGTTTTTGGGTGTTCATCCTGAGATGATGAACTGATGTTTTGCTGTTCCATGTAGAGAACTGACATTCCCATTTAGCCCTGGCTATCATTCCCATATGTGCTTCCCTCATCTTCAAGCAAAGAACCAACTGGCTCCCACTAACCCCAGCCTAAATCCCAAAGGGTCCACCCTGGTTGGGGTAGGGAAGGGACTCACCCAGCTCCACCGTGAGTTCCTCTGGGAAGAGCAAAAGGAAAAGTAGATTTAATTATGGTTCTTTCCCCCTTATAGATCCATCAACCAGAAGTTTATGCATTTTGGGTTGTATTCCAATGGATTAGGAACCACTGATCCCCATGTGTCCAAACCATCATTCCAAAGGGATTTGGGATGCTCGGGGAGAAGCACACATTGAGCAGCCATGGACGTGGAGCCTAAGGCTCCTTTATCCCATGTTAGAAGGGAAGAGCTCCATTTCCCTATGGAAGAGCAGCACTCACCGATGCGCGTGCTCTGCTCCGCTGGGAATGGGAAAAAAAGGGAGAAGAAACAAAGCTTCAGGTTCTTTGCAGCACCCACGTTGCAAGTGGGAGAAGAGCAGGGAAAGGGGAATAGCAGGGAAAGGGGAAGAGAAAGGAGGAAAGACCAGGAAGGACTTACCAAGCTCCTCTGTGATTTCCCCTTTAAGGAAGGGAATAAAGGACACAATTAGGATTCCTGGGCTCAAGCCTCATCTGAAACTTCATGAACAACCCCAGTATTTCAACAACCAAGTGGGAATCTGGTATTTGGGTGGGGGGTGGGAAGCTCTTCCTGGGATTGGGATAACGCAGCCGGAATCTGCCCGCTGCAGACCCATCCCAAGCACCCAAATCCACCCAAAAGGAGAACAAAACCCACCTATTTGTTTATCCCGTTCCTCTAAAAACAAGGAAGAAAATCAAGATTAGGATAATAAGGGAGAGAAACCATGGATTTCCATTGGGATTTTCTCCTTCCCTACTATTCCCTTCTCCTTCCCTACTATTCCCTTCTCCTTCCCTACTATTCCCTTCTCCTTCCCTATGGGAAGACCCAAATTTCCTCCATATCCACAGTTAAATGGTGGGGAAAAGCAAAAAGCTGCTATTAAGGATGAAGTTCTGATGTTCACATCACTGATTTCCCATGGGAACAACCTTGGAGCTTCTAACCCAGCAGAATTCCAATCAGGATACCAAGAAGTGGCTTACCCAGCTCTGCAGTGAGCTCATCTGAGAGGAGAGAACCAGGGATGTGCATCAGAGCAGGGAATCCAGGCAGGAAGTGCTCCTGCCAAGGCAGGAAGGGGAATGGTGCTCACCTCTTTCCAGGTCACTGTCCTCTGGGAAGGGGAGGAGAAGGGGAAGAGAGAAGGGGGGAGAAGGGAAAGAGAAGGAAAAGGGGAAAGGAAGGAAAAGGGAAGTGGAAGGAGAAGGAATGAGAATTCCTCGTATCTTTTTCCCCTTCCAGCTCCATCCCTCATTTGCTGTCATTCCCATGCTCTGACATTGGTAGAGCCCCAGCCCTCGGCCCATCCCAGTTTTCCAGTTGGAAGGAAGCTGGAGCTTTACCAAGCTCCTCAGAAGATTCATCTGCAGTGGAATGAGATGGATCCATTAGTGTTGATCCATTATAGAAGCCATACTGGGCCTACCCAACCCCTGAGGGGCAGGAACAAAGCACTCACCAGCTTCCTGCTCCCTCAGCTCCTCTGCCAGAGGGAAAAGAGGGAAAGGAAAAGGTGAGACCTGGATTTGCCCTTTTCCAGCCCCATTTCCCATCCCCATCCCAGGGTCTATCCCTTGGCTAGTTTTCCCTGGTGTTATTTTAGGCCCCTTGGCCCTCTGCTGTTATCCCCAAAAGTAGATGCCAAAGGATGGGAAGAGCCAAACAGAGCCACCACATCCCCATGGATGGATGTGGGGAGGTTTGGAACCACCTTATCCAGCTCTGTTCCAGATTCCCTTAGAGAGAAGGGGATAAAGTTAGGGAAAAGGGAGAGGAAAAGGGGAAAGGAAAGGGGAAGGAAAGAATTCCAGAGATAAAATCTTGCCAATATAGAAGGAGCAGAAACTCTCACAGGGATTCAGGGAGAGGATCAGATTCCTGGGACATTCCCCTCCGATTCCTGCCATATTCCAGGGACCATTTCCCCAAATCCATCTATTTGTTGGCATTAGGAGCCACATGAACCACTTCCCTCAGGGCAGGATGTACATAGCAACTTACGGATTCCTGAATCCTGGCTCTCTGCAAGAGGAAAGAGATCCCAGTTAATGCCATGACCAGCCCTTTTCCCATGGGATTTATGGCCAGGAAAACACGTACCCAGCAGCTCCGTGAGGCGCCCTGGGAGCAGAGAGACATGGATTAGGTCAAGCATGGACTTTCTGATGCCAACATTATGGATTATACACTTTATAGGGATATATTTATAATGGAATATGATTATTATCTATTTAAGAATCTATTTAGGGCACATAAGATACAGATTTAGGACATAAATCACATGATAGACATGGAATATGGAGAATATCAATACATTATCCACATAAATCCCATCCCAGGCACATTGGGACCAATTTGACACCGGCCAGATTGGGATCCCCCATGAAAACCTTCATTTATGTCCCCTTTCCCCCTCCCTTTTCCACTTTTCCTCCAAACTGAAGTCATTTGGAACATTCAAGCCCCACATTTGGGGTTCATTCTCTTGTGTTTGGGTTTCCCAGGGAATTCCCACAGGGAAACCCCTTTCCCACTGTGGATATTGCATTTAGACCAAGTGCTGGGTTAGTCACGACCCCCCCGGAACCTGGAAAGGCACTTACGGATCTCAGCTTCGTTTTCCCCTGAACGAAAAAGAATAACGGGAATAAATCCTAAGGAATTCACAGTGTATCCCAGAGCACCTCTTGGGATCTTGGAGCACTTCATTCCCACCCCTATTCCCCTTCCAAACCCCTCGAGCCTCACACAATGAACACTTGTGGGTGAGAACCAGCCCCAGGCATGACCCAGGAAGAATCCAGATGGGATTTATAGGGGGAACAAGTGTCTGCATCCATGAAACCCCCCCAGTGCTGGTGCTCCCCCTGGTATTCCTGTTCTGCCATCCGGGATGTGACGGCTGTGTCCTTCCTTCAGCCACAGCTCGTGTTGCTCCTGAGCTCATCCCTAGGAATAGCAGTGGGATGGAGCTGGGAATACTTACGGATGGTCACACCCCGTTCCTCTACAAAGAGCAAAGAAAGAGACAGAAATGAGCTCAAATGAGATCCCAGCTCCAAAGGTTTTTCCTGGAGCTGGGGTCTGATCCCTAGCACTGCTTGGAAACGGGATTTGGGGGGATAGTGATCCCATTGTGTCATAGAATCATAGAACCTGTTATGGAATCTATTACATGGTCCTACCATAGGGTCATCTATCCTGCCATATAATCAAATATCCTGTTATACATCCTATCGTATAATCATATATCTTATCCTATATCATAATGTCCTGGGTTCAGCAGTAGCAGAGCGATGGGGGGGAAGTGAGCAAACGAATTACCTGACTAGGTTTAAACCACGACACCTACCATAGAATTGTATATCCTGTTACATATCCTACCATCTATCCTACCATCTCCCACAGGATCCACCCACAGGCCCATCTATATTTCACACTTTTATCCCAGCTTTTGCACACATCCTCCTAAACCCAATTAGAACAGGAATTTCCCCTTAAGGACCCCAGATGGGCAGGAAAACCTGGGAAACCCAAGGAAATCTCCTTGTTGAGCAAAGGGAATTCCTTACCAAGTTCCGCCGCCTGCTTCCCTGCAAACAGAGAGGAAAACCCACAGCAAAGCAGGGGTCTGGTGCTGTTCCTCTTCCTCGGGGACAGAATCCCAAGGGTGGATTAAAAAGAGACACTTACGGAGCTTCCTGCTGCATTCTTCTACAAAGCAGTGGGAATGGGGGGTAAGCACACCGGGATCTGCATCATTCCCACCTAACCCAGGGTTAATGGAGAAGGGACTTACTGATGTCTGCAGTGAGTTCCCCTGAGAAAAGAGAGGGAAAACACAACGGGATTTATGGAAAAGCCTCTAGAATTCCCTAAATCCAGGTTCTGGGAAAAGGGAGGTGAAACCCACCTATTTTTGTGTGCTGCTCGCCTGGAATGGAGGGAAAACAACCAGGATTTACTTCCATGGCTCCTGCCCCTCACCCTTCATTATCTTATCCCGTAATCTGGAATACCAAGTGCCTCCTGCTCTGTGTTATTCCCATTATATACACGTTATTCCCATTTCTATTTTTTTGGGAGGGTTAAAACTTCCCCATCTCAGCCCCTATGATGCTGTTTCCCACCAGCCCCCAGAGGCAGAGCCCAGTCTGGGGCTTGGATTGAGGATTCCTTTGGGAAAACCACAATTTTATAGGATTTAATATCCCAAATCTTGGATATTTTGAACCATTTCAGTAAAAGATGACTCAAGTCATTAAAATGTATGGAAGTTTAATGAAAATCAAGCATTGGACTTACCCAGCTCCACCGTGAAGATCCCTTCAAGCAGAAACAGTGTTAGATCCCATCTGAGTTCCCAAACTCCATGATCCCAGCTCAGCTCTTCCCATGGGAATTTCCCCCCTTCTATTTTCCTTTCCCCTCCCCTTGACCTTTGGATTCTAACTTCCCAAATGAAGGAATTCCAGGATCCCTGCAATGATGGGAAGCATCAGCCCTGGAGCAGGGAATGTCACTTACTGATCGTCGCGTCACATTTAGCTAAGACAAAGATAAGGAATGAGATTCACATCAGTTTTCCAGGTCCATTTTTCCCCTTTTCCCCTCTTTTTCCGGCAGGAAAGTTACTCACTGAGTTCTGCAGTGAGTTTCCCTGGAAAGGGGAGAGAGGAGGGTATTGAGATCAGTGTTCCCATCTCCTCTCTGGGCACAGTGGGAACAACTCCCTGGATGCAGCTTACACAGGGTTGGAGGAATAACAAGAGTGTGGAATAATAGTGGAAAATAGGGAAGAGGGGAAGGAAGGGAAAGAGGGACCAGGAAATACAGCAGCGAGGAAAAGCACCATTCCAGCAATGCCCATTTGGGGGCGATGGAAGGTTTGGGATACAGAAACACTGGAAAACTGGGGAAAGTGGTGCCCAGGAGAGGAGATCCCTTGGGAACAGGCTGAGGAAAAGCCACCCGGGACCAGATTGAACCCAAAAGCACTTACGAAGCCTCGAATCCCGGTCTCCTGCATGGAAAAGGAGGGAAAAGGCTCAAATCCATCATTTTGGGGGTGGTTTGTCCCTCTTCCCAAAGGACAAAGGCCAGGAGGTGGGAGCAGCTTTCCTCCCAAGTCATTCCATACAATCCATGCCGGGAATGGGAGGCTGAACCACACTTACCCAGTAGAGCAGTGAGGCGCCCTTTGGGACCAGAGGCAAAGAAGAGGCATCAGGTGGAGCACAGGGACTCAAAGTGGATGTTTCCAAGCCCAAAAAGCCAGAGTTTGGGATGGAAAAGAGGGAAAAGCACTCACGGACTTCAGCGGCGAGTTTGGCTGAGGAGGGAAAGGATATTCCTGGTTATCCAGGAGGGGTTTAGGGAAAAGCCAAAGCTTAGGCTGAGACTTGCGGGGAAATGTTCCCATTCGGTATTTTTCCCACTCAGATTTGCCCAAAATCTGGGTTTTTCAACTCAAAACCGCATGAATAATACTCACTGGTTTTCCGATCACGTTCCTCTGGGAAGCAAAGGAGGGGGAAAAGGCAGGAAAATGGTTAATAAGTGATTTCCTTCCCTATTCCTGGCATCCCTGGAGCACTCAGATTGGGAAAGCCGCTATTCCCACCCCCAGCATCACCTTGAGCTGAGGGTTATACACTGGAATTATGTGTTGTGGATGTTATTCCATCCATAAACCCTCTTCCAGGTTTCCAGCAGGATTTCTCCCTCTGCTCCTGTTCCCCCCTCCCCTCCCCCCCCCCCCCCCCATCTGAGGAGGAATTCCACTTACTGATCTTGGCATCACATTCACCTAAAAGAGCCAAGAAACGATCAATCACTGCAGAGACACCAACAGCTCTTCCCAGCCCTGTTCCCTGGGGTTGGAATATCCCAAAACGGAGCTTTGGGAAGGGAGAAACCCCTTTTAAGACACTTATCCCTCCCCGATCCCGCAAAACACTCTGTTTTCCCAGGTTTTCCCATCCCCAGCACTTTGCATCCCAAAGGATAACTTTAAGGACATGAAATCTCCTTACCCAGCTCTGCTGTGAGTTTGCCTGGAATCAAAGGAAATAAAGGAATATTAGCCTTTTAAAATCCACCTTGGTTTCCCTATGGATGTGCCAATGGCTTTCCCAAGGGAAAAGTTGTATTGTAACTGCCCCATGCTGATGGGAATGAGCTCAAAGAGGCTTTGGGATATGGGAAAAGAACCATCCCTGTATTGATGGAAACAGGGATGAACTATGGGAAGCTGAGGCTGATCAGAGCAGCCCGAACTCCACTTCTGCAATGAGACAATCCCAAACCCTCCCATATATCCCCCAAATCCTTTAGGAACCAGGTCCAGAGCACACGGGGTGATCTGGGCTGTGATTCCCACCAGGAATGAGAAGTGGAACTTACTGATTCTCCTGTCCCGTTCCTCTGAAAGGGAAAACACCAAAGGTCAGGGAATGCTCCACCACCCCACCCCCCCCCCCCCAACATCCTCCATCCCAAATCCTGGAATAATGTGGAATTACACCATTCTGTGGAATGGGTTGAGGTTATTTGTAGCCCAGATTGGAGGAAGGAGTGTTTGAGGAGGGAATAACCACCCCTTTCCTAAACATCCCAATGGAACAAAGGCGAGAGGAAGCGAAGCACTCACCCAGCTCGGAGGTCAGGCTGTCTGGTTGGAAATACATGGAAAAGCAAGGAATGGTCAACAAGAGGAGAAGAAATCTGGGTTTTCACCAGGGATGCTCCTGCCCTGTCCAGGGCTTTGGCTTGGGAATTCCCTTTGTTCTCACTATTTGGTTTGGGATGAAGGGACCTCAAAGCTCATCCAGCTCCAACCCAATGCCATGGGGACACCTTCCACTGGAGCAGGTTGAAGGGACGGAGCGTCCAAACCTTCCCCATGCAACCCGTTCCAGTGTCCCACCACCCTCTTCCCAATATCCATCCAACTCTTCCTTCTTCCAGGTTAAAGCCATTCCCCTTGTCCTGTCCCTCCATCCCTTATCCAAAGCCCCTCTTCAAGGTTTCCTGTAGCCCTTCTAGGCACTGGAGCTGCTCTAAGGTCTCCTGGAGCCTCTGCTGCTTTTGAGGGATAACAGGGAGAAACCAGGAATAAACCCCTGGCAAATCATCTGATCCCAATCCACAGGAACCTGTCCAATGGGAATTGCATCAGGACTTACCAATTTCTGCTGTGAGCTCACCTGGAAGCAGGGAGATAAAGCAGGATGAATGTTAAGGGATGATGGGAATCTGACCCATTGGAATCCCTGGGTAGGGTGATGGGCAGAGCCTGTGCGAGTTGGGGTGCGGATGGGTCCCAGTGCTCACATGGGATCTATCCAACAAGGAATTCCCTATTATAGGTGTCCATATGGCAAGGATAAGGATGATACATACCAATCTCTGAGTGTGTTCCTACAGTGAACCACAAGAGAAGAGAAAGCTCTGGGTCATTTCCCACATTCCATAGCTGTTTTCCTCCTCATACAGGACACAATCTCTGCTCCACGTGGGTTTATCCCTAATTATCCTCTAGGATTAGCTGCCCTAGGGAGGATTTACTGCTAGTTCTATGCTTTAAGACCTTTCTGCTTGTTTGGAAGCAGAATAACCCTAAAAAGCCACTTGCTCTCGGCAGTATTTCCAGGAGGAACGTGGCTCTGAGAGCTCCAAATTCTCAAATCCAGGAAAATGGAGTCAATAAAGGGAAAGATAAAGGTAAAAGAAGTGCTGTAGGAAGCAGTAGCAGTAGGAAGAGCCCTTAAAGAGGAGGAAACTCACCATTTTCTGTGTCACATTCCTCTAGGAGAGAGAAATAAAGCCAGGTCAGCCCCAAGCTCTCCAAAGGGAGCTTCAGGAATGCTTGGGAATGCGGCAGGATTGCAGGGACCAGCCCCTCCTCTGCTCCAGGAGCATTCCCATCAGCCCAGCCCCACTCACCCAGCTCCGTGTCGCTCTCCTCTGGATGGGACAAAGAGAAACAGAACCGGTTGGTGATGGTCAGTGGGGATGGAGCAGCACGAGGAGGGAAGCACTCACCAGGGTCCTCCTTCAGCCGCCCTGCAAGCAAAGGGGATGTGAGGGCAAGGCTCCAGCACCCGGAGCACGTCCTCAGGGATAAAGGGGCAGGAAAAGGCACTCACTGATCTTCGCATCCCATCCATCTGGAAGAGAGGCACAGAACTGAGCTCTGGTGGCAGCGGATGGGACAAAGCAGCCCCACGCCGGCCACGAGCATCACTTCAGAGTGGGACTAAAGGATCTTAACGTCCCTTCCAACCCATGCCATGATGGACGGTCCCTTCCAACCCATTCCACCTTGGAGGGTCCTTTCCTTTCCAACCTATTCCATCTTGGAGGGTTCCTTCCAACCCAAACTGTTCTAGGATTCATGAGCCTGGGAAGAGGGAAAACCACTCACCAAGGTCAGCATTCCTTTTCCCTTGAAAAGAAGAAAGGGAAAGAAGGGAATGGGTTTGGGGCTGGCTCTGAGCCTCATCCCGCTGGAATCAGCACTAAGAAGAGCAGCTTAAGGAGAAAAGTGAGGCTGGAGCACCCTTGGGAATGGCAAAGCGGGATTTTTGGAGCTACAGGAGCCACACGTTGTTAAGGAATAGGTTTTTGTCTACCTGAGTCCATCATCCAGTTCGCTTCCCAACTGGAACCTCCAACAGCTCTGCCAGCCTGTGGGGATGAAGGGAACATCATTAGAGCATCCCTTAGGAACACCAGTGGTGGAGGGAGAGCTCCATAGAGCTGTGGAGCTGCTCCTTGTTTTCCCCAGCTCTTAGACTTTGGTAGGTATTAGAATCCAAGGATGGGATTGCCATGGGAATGGTGCAGATCCCACCCTTTGCTTCTCCTCATCTGTTCACCAGAGAGGCCCAATTCCATAATGGAATTCTCCCTAAACCACTCAAAGCAGGCAGAGAAATCATCATCATTCAATTTAGTGCTTGTCATCCTAAACCTTCCTGGAGCTGCAGGGTGGGAACCAGCACCCAATCCTATTGGATTCTTCTATAGGATCCCTCTTTCTATAGGATCCCTGCTTTCAATCCTTCTGCTTCCCAGTGCCATCAGGGGCACTTCCAGCACTAAAGGTCCCTCTTGCCCCAGGCTGCTCCAGCACCATATCACATTTCTCCTGCTCCCTCCCAGGAAGAGCCGCATGGAACAGGATATCCCAATCCCATGCTCCCTCTGGAGCTTGTGGAAGGGCATAAGGCTCACCAGGACCTGATGGCCTTCAATGCCAGTGTGGGTCTCTCCGGGGCCGGCTCCGTGGTGGAGGCTGTGGCTTGTCCCAGGAAGCGGGACTGGGAGACGCCGTGTGTCTGGAATCGTGTCCCGGGCAGGACAACTGAGCCGGGCCAGATCCCATCTAATTATAGCGGCTTTAAATGCCGAGGGTGGAGGGGGATCCCAATATGGATATCACAGGAATGGGCTCCTCTGGGGAGGGGACAAAGAGGAGGTGCATCTCCCATGGGTGCTTTAGAGGATGCAGGAGCTGCTCTGGAGCCAGGACCTGGAGCTCAGTCTGCGGGGATCCAAAGGAGCTCCTGCTTGTGCGTGAATCTGCCCTATCCAAAGGGAAATCCGCCCTATCCAAAGGTGGGAGACATCAATTCCTGGTTTTCATCACCCAAAAATAGCACTTTGGGGACATTTCTCATCACTTTGGGGTCATTTCTCATCATTTTTTGGATCATTTCTCATCACTTTGGGGTCATTTCTCATCATTTTTTGGATCATTTCTCATCACTTTGGGGTCATTTTTCATCACTTTGGATCATTTTTCACCATTTGGAGTAATTTTTTACTCCATTGGGTCATTTTTCATCACTTTGAGTCATTTCTCATCACTTTGGGGTCATTTCTCACCACTTTGGGGTCATTTCTCATCACTTTGGGGTCATTTCTCACCACTTTGGGGTCATTTCTCATCACTTTGGGGTCATTTCTCATCAGTTTTCGGCTTATTTTGGTGTTATTCTCCCTATTCATAGCTGGAGGTTGGAACTGGATGATCTTTAATGTCCCCCCAAGGCCCTCTCTGCGCCACACACACCCTCCGGGCCCTCTCTGTATCCTCCCATCCCCATCCCGCCTTCCTCCTCCTCTTTCCGTACGGCAACATGGCGGCGCGCGAGGAAGCGGGAGCGGTATGACGGCGCCGCCATGTTGCCGTACAGCTCCACCGCCTACTTCCGCTTCCGCCGGAAGTCTCCCCTTTCTCTCGCCCTCCGTGCGCGGCGCCAGGCGGGCGCGTCAGGCCGCGGCTTCGGTGGGATCCGCCGCCATCCGCCGGTGCAGCCGCCGCAGCCGCCGCCATCGCCGGTGCAGCCGCCGCCATGACGGAGCAGATGACGCTGCGGGGCACGCTGAAGGGCCACAACGGCTGGGTGACGCAGATCGCCACCACGCCGCAGTTCCCCGACATGATCCTGTCCGCGTCCCGCGGTGAGGGCCGCGCCGCGGCGGCGGCAGGGACCCAGCGGGGGGGGGGGGGGGGGGTGTGTACACGGACGAGAGCATCGATGCGGGGGGGTGAACACACCAATTGGAGGGGACGAGACCATCGGGGTGGGGGTGTCAGAGGGGACCATTGGCCTGGTTGCCCCCCAGAGCCTCTCCTGTGCCCCACATCCCACCGCAGCCCCCAGGGTTGGAGCTCCCCCATAGGCTGTGCATTAGAGGCAGGACCTGGTGGTGGGGACAGAGCAGCAGTGATCTCACCCCCTTCCCTTGGGCACCTCCATTGGGGTCACCCGCCCGTTGCTTTGGGGCTGATCCCACTTCCCCCCTCCTTGTTCCTGTTATCCCAGACAAAACCATCATCATGTGGAAGCTGACGCGGGACGAGACCAACTACGGGATCCCACAGCGTGCCCTGCGTGGGCACTCGCACTTTGTCAGCGACGTGGTCATCTCCTCCGACGGGCAGTTCGCCCTCTCGGGCTCCTGGGACGGCACCTTGCGCCTCTGGGACCTCACCACGTGAGCCCCGGGGGGGGCTGCGGGTCCCCCCCCATTGTGTTTGGGTGCTGGGGTTGGGAGGTGAAGTTCAAGCAAGGCATTGGTTGCATCCAAAGGAGGGTATCCTGCCCCTCTGCTGTGGTCCACTTGGATCCTGCATCCAGTGTGCTCAGCATCATGGAGCTGCTGGAGCAGGGTTGAGCAGCAGCTGGAGCAGCTCCATATAGAGACAGGTTGATGACATTCGGGCGGGAGGAGAGAAGCTGTTGGAGACCTCGGAGCAGCTTCAAGGGGGCTACAAGGATGGGGAGAGGGACCTGCAGCAGAGGTAGGACAAGGGGTGATGGAACTGGAACAGGGAAGTTCAGGTTGGAGATAAAGAAGCTCTTCCCTGTGAGGGTGGTGGGACACTGGAGTGGGTGGAATGGAGAAGCTGGGAATGCTCCATCCCTGGCAGTGTTCAAGGCCAGGCTGGATGGACTCGGGGATGATATGGTCCAGTGTGAGGTGTCCCTGCCCATGGCAGGGGTGGGAGCTGGATGATCTTAAAGCCCTTTCCAACCCAAACCGTTCCATGATCACATGAATCCCAGCGCTCGTGGCTCTTCTCAGCTCCTCTCCTGATGATTACGCCTGACTCATCTCTGATCCTTTGGGATCTGAGGACACGTCCTGCAATTATGATGGGAGAGAGGCTTTGTGGGGGCTCGAGCCCCTTTTGGCTCCATTGGGGGTGCAGGAGGAGAGGGTTAGCATCACCAGTACCAGCATTCCATGTGGGCTGAACTCATCCTGATGCTTCCCATGCTTCTTCGCTCCTTCCCTACTGTAGACCACTCCAGGGGGTGTTTTTCCTCCCAAATACTTGCATTTCCTCCCCTTTTTAATGGGATTTATCCATGGTTTTCCTGCTATTCCCTGTGTCTCCTGCAGTGGCACCACCACCCGTCGCTTCGTGGGTCACACTAAGGATGTCCTGAGCGTTGCCTTCTCCTCCGACAACCGCCAGATTGTGTCGGGCTCCAGGGATAAGACCATCAAACTCTGGAATACTCTGGGGGTCTGCAAGTACACGGTGCAGGTGAGCTCCCACATTCCATAAGGAAAAGCTTTAGGTCCCTTCCCATCACTTATGGTTGGGGATTAGGAGGGGTCTGAGGGATGAAGGAAAAGCCATGGAGAACGGGTCTGATCCTGCAACACCCTCTGAATGGCATGGGGAGGACTCATCCCTGTCTCCTCACCATGATCCCAATCCCATTACTGTTTCCCAGGATGAGAGCCACTCGGAATGGGTGTCCTGCGTTCGCTTCTCCCCCAACAGCAGCAACCCCATCATCGTGTCCTGCGGCTGGGACAAGCTGGTCAAGGTGAGTTGGGATCTAGCAAGCCCAGGCTGGAATTCTTCCACGTTCCCAGAATTTGGGGGTGCAGGAGCAGCGTTCATCCCCTTTTCCCCTCATCCAGGTGTGGAATTTGGCCAACTGCAAGTTGAAGACCAACCACATCGGGCACACAGGATATCTGAACACGGTGACAGTGTCCCCTGATGGCTCCCTCTGTGCCTCGGGGGGAAAGGTACATGCAAAGCTCCATATCCCAGGATCCCTCCCCCAGACCTGGCTCATCCCAGTGCTTCCCAGTCCTTCCCTGTATCCCACAGGATGGGCAGGCCATGCTGTGGGACCTCAACGAGGGCAAACACCTCTACACGCTGGATGGAGGGGACATCATCAATGCTCTCTGCTTCAGCCCCAACCGCTACTGGCTCTGCGCAGCCACCGGGCCCAGCATCAAGATCTGGGTATGTCCCTGTCCCCATCCCGATGGAATTCCATTGGGAACCCACCTCTTCCCCAGCCTCCGCCAGGCCGAGCTGTGATGAAACACTTCATGCCATCTGAGTGCAACCATGTGGAAACCCAGAGGCTGTTTCTGAGCACCCCTCATGCTGGATCGGGAGCTAGATCAGGAGCTCCCGGCAAGGATCCTTCATTCCTTCCCCTTCTTCCCACAGGATCTGGAAGGGAAAATCATCGTGGATGAGCTGAAGCAGGAGGTGATCAGCACCAGCAGCAAAGCGGAGCCGCCCCAGTGCACATCCCTGGCCTGGTCTGCAGATGGGCAGGTAAAATCCGTCCTCTTGTCCCTGTCCCTGCATCCCAGCCCTGGGAATGGGGATTGGGGGGGATCCTCCAAGCATGGGGACAGTTGTGCTGCACTCCTGGGGTCATCTCTGCCAGCAGGAGCTTCCCTCATTCTTCCTTCCCCAGCTCCTTCCCAGTCTTCCCATTTTTTCCTTCCTTTCCCTCATTCTCCATCCCACTACCGGCACTCACCAGATTTCCCCTCTCCTGTGGGGTTTGGGTCCTCAGCCCTCAATGCTCATGCTCAAGGTCCTACCTTCCCATCTGATCCACCTCTTCCCGGTTTTCCCTCTCTCTGCAGACTCTCTTTGCGGGATACACGGATAACCTGGTCCGAGTATGGCAGGTGACCATCGGGACACGCTGAAGCCCCACTTTGGGAATCCCAATAAACTAGCGCTCATCACCACTTCGTGTCCAGTTCTGGCTCCTTGCTTGGATCAGAGCCCAGTCCCCATATTCCCAGCTCCAGATTCCCAAAAGTATTGTCCCCAGCCTCAAAGCCACTGGGGATTCAGTCCCACAGCACTGAAATTATGTGATGGAGGGAGGACATTCTGTGTCCTTCCAGTTAATGGGGGGCTCTCGTTCGTTCCCAGACTCTGGAAGAACCTGGCAACACACACACAATTCCCAAGGAACCCCAGAATTTAGCTCATTCCGGAGGCACTGGTGGTCTCCTCATCCCCACCAGGGATTTTCCTTAATAAAGGGAAGGATTTAAGGTGGAATATAGGCACTGGGTCCATGCCTATATAGCCATTCCCTATGGATCTGGGATTGAATTGCTCATTCCCAGCCAGAACTGAAGGGATTCAGCTGCCACATCCAGTGGGTGGCAGTGAGGCAGCACTTTTGGGCTTGACCAAATCCAGTTGGAATTAATGAGAGATCCAGTGATGGATCCATGGAAGACCCCAGTTCCAGGGCACAATTAAAGCCGGTTTTGTTGGGAATTGGATCCTGGAAGCTTCCATTGGGATGTCACCAAGGCCAAGGCACAGATTTACAACCTTAATCTTTATTATTTGACATAAAACTAAATCTCAATTTAATTCCCATTTTAGCCAAAAATAGTTGGAAGTAGCTCTGGAATGCCAACAGGAACAAAACCCCACCAACAAAAAAGAGGGATTAATACACAACCGAGTCTCTGGATTGAGCTGGAATCTCGGGAGCAGCCGAGACAAATTGAGAGGAAAAGGGAGCAAAAATAAATACAGGAGCAGGAACGTGGGATAAGTGCTGGGGAATGGGATGGAGATCCCAAAAACACGGAATACCGCAGGGAAAAGCGGGATGGACTCCAAGTGTGGACACCAGCCCGAGTCTGAGGGAGGCTGGAAGTGAATCCCAAAGGAATCCAGCCTCCTCAGTGCAACCAGCGATGGAAGTTGGGGAAGATGATGATGGGAGGTTGGTTCAGAATGAAGCCAAGAGCTTCATGACACTGAATCCCACCGGGATGTCATCCGTTGGGAATGGGAGAGAAGAGCTCCTGGCAGCAGGAAAACTGCCTCTGAGGTGGATCCTTCCCTAATTCCAACCCAAACCTGGCTTTGGATCCCGGGAGGAGCGGGTGGGGAAAGGAAATGGGTGCAAGACAAGTGCAATGCCAGATCCCAAACCAGGATCCAAAGGGCAGGAAAAGCAGCGCCAGATCCCAAAATGAGATCTGAGTGGCAGGAAAAGCAGCACCAGATCCAAAAGTAGGATCCAGATGGAATCCAAGGAGCAGGAAAAGAAGCATTGGATCCCAAACTGGGATCTGAGGGGCAGGAAAAGCAGCGCTGGATCCTAAACTGAGATCCAAGGGGCAGGAAAAGCAGCACCAGATCCCAAGGGCAGGAAAAGCACAGGATCAGGCACAGATCTTGATGCGGGTGCCCTTGGCCAGGATGCGGAAGAAGGGGAAGATGCGCTCGCGGAAGGAGGCGTTGAAGGTGTGGATGTGGCTCATGTTCTCAGCATTGTAGAAGCAGAGCTGACCCCTCTCATAGTCCAGGTAGACCACGAAGCGCCGGGGCCGCTCTCCCGGCGTCAGGAATGTTTGCTCCGTGGCCGTCAGCGCCTGGAAACGCTTCCCATTGGTGCCCACGCACCAGATCTCCCTCTTCTGCTGCGCTCCCATCGGCTTCTCCTTGCGCCGCGTCGTCTCCCGGGCAGCTCCCACCGCCCAGCCCCGCCTGCCTCCCACTTCCACTTCCCAGTAGTGGCGCCCGGCGCTGAAGCCCTGTGCTCCCAGCACGCAGAATTCCCAGTCGAAGCGCTTGGGATTGTCGGGAAGGTCCTGGCGCCGCTCGCCCAAGCGCACGCTGCGGCGGTCCAGGGACAGGCTGAGCCGCGGGTGGGCCGTGTCCGGGTCCAGCGTCACCTCCGCTGCGGGACACAGGGAGAAAGGGGTTAAGGGGAGCCCAAAGCCCCATCCGGGATCCCAATCCCAAATCCTGGGGATGGGGTTAAATCGCTTCAATCCTCCTTTTAACCCCGTTTCCTCCTTTTAACCCTCAAACCGCAACTCCAGGATTGGATTCAGCAGATGGGAAGAGATGAAGGGAGAGGGTGGGAAAAGGAGGTGCTCTGTTTCCAGAGGAACCCCAACCCCATGCAGAGGGAATCCCACCATCCCTGTGGATCCAGGGAGTTTCCCAACCCGCTCACCTTGAGGGACTTTGTAGAAGACTTTCTCCATCTTCCTCATCACCACGTCCTGCAGGAAGTAGTTACGGTATTTCTTCCCCACGTCCACAGGCACCATCTCGGGCTCCTGGAATTTCATGTTCTCACATCTTGGGAAGGGGAAGGAAAAGCGGGATTGAGCACTGGGAACAGGGAAGGGAACACACACCAGGAGAGGGCAGAGATCTGGGCTACAAGTGGCTGCTTGTCCAGTGGAGGGGATAAATGATCCCTATGGACTCTAAGATCCCTTTCCCAGCCTTTCCCCTCTCCTATATGTCCCTCATCATCCCTAAATCCCATCTTCCTGCTTCTAGGAGCTCCCATCACCACATTCACTCCAACATCCATATGACACCCAGGTTCCAAACTCCCCATGAAGGCCTTTCACCCCACCCCAGAAAAGCCATTTAGAGCAATGGGAAGTGACTGACCTGATGAAAGTGCCTTTGATGTCCTGGGAAAGGAGGAATCCAGGTGGGAAATGAAGAGAAAGACAAAGATCATCAGGAAAGAGTGCACCCAGAGGGGAAGAATCCCATCCATCATGGAATGGTTTGGGTTGGAAAGGAGCTTAAGATCATCCAGTTCCAACCCCTGCCATGGGCAAGGATACCTCACGCTAGACCATGTTACCCAAGGCTCCATCCAACCTGCCAGGGATGGAGCATTCCCAACCTCCTTGGGCATTCCAGTGTCCCACCACCCTCACAGGGAAGAGCTTCCTCATCTCCAACCTGAACTTCCCTGTTCCAGTTCCATCACCCTTTGTCCTATCCCAGCTGCAGGTCCCTCTCCCCACCCTTGTAGCCCCCTTGAAGCCGCTCTGAGGTCTCCATCAGCTTCTCTGCTCCAGCTCCCATGTCCTCATCCCGTCTCCTATGGGAGCTGCTCCAGCCCATGAACACCCCATCCCAGCTCCCTGGCACAAGTCCCATCGGGACTCGGCTCCCTTGATCCCGAGGGAAGCAGACCTGGAGCAGCTGCAGCCCATCCTGCCGGCTCTTGTCCTCGGCCTCGGCCAAGAGGCGGCGCAGCGCCGCGCTCTGCTCCTGCAGCAGCCGCACGTTGCTGCTCTGCCGGCCCATGAGGCTCTCGTAGCGCTCCTCCAGCTGGTGCAGCAGCAGCACCTGCTCCCCGACCAGGAACTGGTGCAGCAGCTCGAAGTCCGACTCCAGTTCCTTGATCTCCAGCTTCATCTTGTCCTAATGGGGAGGGAAGCGCAGGCTCAGAGACCGGAGGTGTGCTCCAGGTCGCATAGCACAGCGGGTCAAACCCCAGGCACTGAGCTCTGATCCCATAGGGAAGCAGCTCCCACAACCCATGAGATCTCCAAGGCTGCAGCAAAGGGACTGCAATGCCTCCAAGAGCTCAGATCCATGGGGAAGAGAGGAAGAGCTTTCCACTAATCCCACGACTTCACATCCTCCTGACTCCAAGGGTGGGTTATTCCTTGGCAGGTGGAAGGCTGAGAAATGGGAGCTGGACATGGATCTGACACAGATCTCGCATGGATCTTACCCTCAGCTCCGTGATCTTCTCCTCTTCGTTGGATTTTTGCTTCAGCACCAGCTCCAGCTTCTTCTTCAGTGGCTCCAGGTGGCTCTGGAGCTTGTTCTGAGGGAAAACCCACACCTCAGGCACAGGAATTCCCTGCCTTTCGTCATCCCATCCCCATCCTTCCCCTTCCAACCGCCCTAAGATCTCCAGGTTCTGTGACTCCAATGGGATCAGCCGAGGGCTCCTCATGGGCATCCTCATCCCATCCATGAGGGAAGCGACACCTTCAGGAGGTGCAGCACTAAGGCAGGCCGAGGAGCTGCGTTCACCCCAAACCAGCCCCACTCCATCACATCCATGCGGGACTGGCTGAGCTCATGTATTCCCTATTGGAACGGCTCCATCCAGCTTCACCTTCATTCCCATCCTCCCCATCCCAACCCTACCCAACCTGTTCCCAGTGACCCAACCAGCCAGGCCAGACCCACCCCACGGCACAGCCCCATTCCCCCCGCCCCCCCGGGCCCCAGATCCCATTCCACACCTTATAATCCTGTACCACCTCCTCGAGCGGCACCACGCTGTGGTGCTTGTGGCTGCGGGACTCCCTGCACACCACGCAGATGGCTTCCTCGTCCACCTCACAGAACAGCTTCAGCGGCTCCTGGTGCCGCTCGCAGCGGTCGGGGGGGCCCCCCAGGGCAGCGGCGGGGCTGGGGGGCAGCAGGCGCTGCGGGTGGGGGTGCAGCTGCCGGATGATCTGCACCATGTTGGCCAGCTGCAGGTTGGGCCTGAAGCTGCGCTGGAAGAAGGTTTTCCTGCACTGGGGGCACGTGAAGGTCTGCAGCCGCTGGGGCTGAGCGGCCCCAAGGGGCGTCGTTGCCGGCTCTTCCTCCTCCTCCTCCTCTTCCTCCTCCTCCTCCACGTCCTCCTCCATCACATCCTCGTCGTACTCTTCCTCCCCGAAGTACAGCTCCCCCCGGGCCCCCCCGCCCCACATCCCCTCCTCCTCCTCCGCGGGGTCCCCCCATAGCTCGGGGTCCTCCTCCTCCTCCTCGCTCCACATCTCCTCTTCCTCTTCCTCCTCGGCGCCATCCTCCTCCTCCTCCTCCTCCTCCTGCTCCACATCGAGCTCTTCCTCCTCCAGCTCCTCCTCCTCCTCCTCCTGCGGGGCCGGGGCCTCCGCGTCCCCTCCGGCCCAGAGCTGCGCGATGCAGCGGCGGCAGAAGTTGTGCCCGCACCCGATGGACACCGGCTCCACGAAGTAGTCCAGGCAGATGGCGCAGATCGCCTCCTCCTGCAGCGTCTCCACCGGGTCCAGCCGCGACCCGGAGCCCGCTGCCGGGGCCGCCATAGCGAGACCGCGGCCTCCGGACCGAGTCCTCCCGCTCACCGCTGCCGGAAGCGCCGCTCTGGCCCCCGCCGGGGCCGCTCTGTCCCTCCTCCCGCCGCCGCCGCCGCTCCTCTCTATGGTACAACCGACAGAAGCAGCCGCGGAGCTTCCGTCTTCCGTCCTCTATGGGCACGTGACAGGAAGTGTTGCTATGGCAAGGGGCTCTCGCTTCCGCGTTGAGGGCCCCCTTATCGCGGGGGCTGCCGGCGGGTTTGTCTACCCGCACAACTCGGTGCTCTTGGAGGACTACTCGTGAGGGTGGGCGTGGCTTTCGCCCTACCAGCCCTCATGGCTCAGGGGGTAGAGCGCCAGACTTGTAAGAGGATAGTTGAGGGTTCGAGTCCCGCTTACGGAGACCTTAAACCTTTATAACTCACCCCAGATTTTTTTTTGTTGCCCCCGCCTTCGCCGGGCTCCGCCACCCCCGAATCCCCCCGGCAGGACTCCCGGAGCGGCCGCACGCTCGTAGCTCAGCGGAGGCACCGGGTGTCCCACCCCGTTTCTGTAGTGTAGTGGTTATCACGTTCGCCTCACACGCGAAAGGTCCCCGGTTCGAAACCGGGCAGAAACACTCGGTTTTTGCCTCTTTATTTTTCCTTTCTCACCTTCACATTCGCGTTTCAACGCCTCAAACGCCCCGTCCCGCGGCGGGCAGCGGGGAAAGAGCTCCCCGGGGCCGCGCGGGTCCGGGTCCCGGTTCAGGTGCCGCCGCGGTCCCTGCCAGTCCGGCGGGGACCGGAGGGCGTTGTAGGGGCAGCCCGGCTAGCTCAGTCGGTAGAGCATGAGACTCTTAATCTCAGGGTCGTGGGTTCGAGCCCCACGTTGGGCGCGTGGTTCCTTTTGCTTCTATTGATCTTATTTTTGCTTCCGCACACACTCCGGGGGTCTCCAAGAGCATCCCAACCAAAAGCCGTTCAGGCTGGGTCCAATCCTAGTGCCTAACCCTCTGAGCAGTTACCGTGGGGTGTCTGAAGCACTTCTCGCATGGGGGTGGCATTTTTTGGTGCTGAGGGATTCATTCATTCACTTCCTGCAGCTTTCCAAGGGGAAAGCAAAGCTTTGATTCCTCATTTGCAATGAAACCAGCGACTTGAGCACACGTGGAGGAAGGGAAGAGGGACAACGCATGGATGTGTCAGTGTAAAGTGCTGCTCCATGGCTGGTCCTGGCGCAGGGGGTTATCCCACGGGGAGTTCGATGGGATTTACGCCCCGCTGGAGCAGCCCTGCCCTCCCCTCTGCTATCTGTCAGCTCATATCTGGCTCCAAACCAGCTGAACCCAAGCCAATGGGAGGCGAGGAGCAGCATCCCTCCCCTCCACATCATTCCCTCTGTTAGGAGCTGATTTCTCCGCTGGCACCCAGAAAACAGCCACAGCAGAAGGAGGAACGTCCCCGCGCGTCCCATCGCAGCGCCATGGCCGCGCAGAGCCCCGCGGACACCCTGCGCAGCGAAACCTCCTGCTCCATCTGCCTCGGTTACTTCCAGGACCCGGTCTCCATCCCCTGCGGACACAACTTCTGCCGCGGCTGCATCTCCCGCTGCTGGGAAGGGCTGGAAGCGCCGTTCTCCTGCCCCCAGTGCCGGCAACCGGCCCCGCAGCGCAGCCTCCGCCCCAGCCGCGAACTGGCCAACATCGCGCTCATCGCCCGCAGCATGAGCCTGGGAGGAAGGGCAGGGGCAGGCGGAGGAGGAGGAGGAGGAGGATGGGAGACGCTCTGCGGGCAGCACCAGGAGGCTCTGAAGCTCTTCTGCACCGAGGACCTGCAGCCCATCTGCGTAGTGTGCGACCGGGCCCGTGCCCACCGCGGCCACAGCGTGGTCCCCATCGAGGAAGCTGCGGAGAAGTACAAGGTAAAGCCCCACATATCCAAGGATTCCAGGCCTGGAAGGGAGTTCCGGGGGCTGCCCGGTCGGGTTTTAGTGCAGGGACACTGGGAGTTTGCAGTGGTCCCAGCAGGTTACCCCCCTACTTGAATCCGTTCACCTTTTCCAACAGGGAGAAAGCAGAAAGTCCCTTTTCCAGCCTTTTCCTCTCGAAAATCCTCTGCTGTTGGCTTGGTTCAGCTGAAAGACCGACACTGATAAATACCCAAAACCGTGTAAAAAAAAAAAAGGATGATTCATTTTATCCCCTTTATAAACGTGGTTACATCCATTTTTTAGGCCAATTTTAAGTATTTACCCCCTTATTCCCTATTTCTTTAGTTTCAATACAAAGAAATAACTTTCTCCTGTCTCCTCCCCTTGTTTTGCTGCTGCTCCAAACCTCTTCTCACCAGAACCCTCTGCAGTGCCCAGCATCATGTCAACATGAGGAACTCCTCGCTGTGTGTTCCCGAAGGAAATCCCCTCCTGCACTTATCTCGCTCTCACAGGCCTTGTGTGCTGCTGATGCTGTTTTGCTCTTTCCTTGCAGTGGTCACTTATGGACATTCCTCCTCCTCTTGGCTTTGCTTCGTGCAGAGGAGCCAGTGTTCAGGCAAAGCCTCTCCCATGGGAGACAAGGGCAAAAGTGATTCCAGTGGGAAAAGCCCCTCCAAGAGCATCTCTTCTTTGTCCCCAGGAAGAAATCCTGAGCTGCCTGCAGGTTCGGAGGGAGGAGAGGGAAAAGTACCTGGAAAGCAGGAAAGCCGGAGGAAGGCGGAGCTCATACCTGGTGGGTGCCCCAATGGGGAGCACCATCATGCGTCCCCCTGCTCTTTTGGGGCCAGATCCCACGTATTTGCTCTGTAGAGCATGGAGCCCTTTGCCCTGGGCTCCTGCCAAGCCCCAGTTTATCTGCTGGGGTTTCACATCGGCTGCACTGGGCTGATAACACCGGGGCTGCTCTGGGAGCAAACAACCCATTGGCTTGTATAGAGACATGGCTGGGAGGGGTTTCCCCTATATCCTATAAATCCCCCTCTGGCAGAGCCCATCTCTTGGCTTTGCTTCCATGCAAAGCCTCCTGGATAGTCCCACATCCATAGCAAGGCCTTTCGCACCCTCACATTTACTGAGCATCACTGAGGACATGGTACCCGAAACCAGCCTTGAGGCCCTGATCTGCTCTCCTTGGGCCTGGTGGGGTCTTGTTGCAGCTCCATCATCTCCTGCCCATCCTTTGGAGCTTCTCCGGGGGCTTCTGTGCTTCCTCCTGGGGTTGTTGCAGCCCCACGGGGCGGGGATGTGACACTGATGGGAACGGAGAGATGGGAGAATGACCCCTGAGGGAATCAGAGGGAGCTCGCACCGTGCATGGGGGGGGGTCTCTGCCCCTCTGAGCCCTGCTCCGCCCCGGGCAGGACCGGACCCGGACCGAAGGGAGGAGGATGGCGGGGGAGTTCCATCAGCTGCAGCGGTTCCTGCGGGAGCAAGAGCGCCTCCTGCTGGCAGAGCTGGCGCAGCTGGACCGCGCCATCGCCCGGGCGCAGGAGGAGGCGGCGGCCAAGGTCTCGGAGGAGATGTCCCACCTCGACACCCTCCTGTGGGAGATGGAGGGCACGTTCCAGCAGCCCCCGAGCCTCTTCCTGCAGGTGGGGACAGGAGCCTCAGACCCCATTCATCCCTATGGGGCATTGCTGGGGAGGGGCGGGGGTCACCCCATGGCCATAAGAACACACAGAAGACACAACACCCACCGTGCCTCTTCCTGTGTCTCCTCTCTCCTCCCACCCTTAGGACATCAGAAGACTCTTGGAGAGGTAAACGCGGCTCCTCCTCACTCTGCTGAGGGAACGCTGAGGTCGGGGTTTCAAACCACGTTGGTGCAGTGGTAGCACAATGGGCTCAGAAACATCCCTCCAGCGATGGCCTGGGGGAAGGCAACTGCAAAGAGAAGGGAAAGGGCAAAGGGGGGCTTGATATGCTCCTGGATAAGGATCCTCAGCCCATCCCATGGCTTCTCCTGCATTGTTTAATGGCAGCAGAACATCTCAGCAGTAGCCTTTGCTCTTTCCAGCTGTGAGATGATGAAGTTCAAGCCCCCGGTAGAGATTTCCTCCCATCTGGAAAGGAGACTCGAGGACTTCGTGCAGAGAAATGTCCTGGTGAGGGGCACATTGAGGAGGTGCCAAGGTGCGGAGTGGGGCTGGGAGCTGGGGTGGTGCTTTGGGTGCTTGGGGACAATGGGTTTGTGCTAAAGCAAAACCTGCCTGGTGGCTGCTGTGAGTGAATGCAGATGGGGTTTACCCGGAGGAGGACATCGGGAGCCTGTCCTGCAGTGGGGGGAGAAGAGAAGAACAAGCTCAGCAGAGGAGGCTCCTTCTCTCCCAAGAGCCTTGCACCACCCAACCCTCACCCCTCAGTATCCCCCCTAAGTCTCCCATTAGCTTTTCTCCCATCCCAAGCCTATAGGATGGAGCTGCAGCCACTTTGACCCCTATACCTGATGCTGTGAAATCTCTTTCCTCTGCAGACAGCCTGATGTTTAAACTGCAAGAGCCAAGTAAGTCGATGGCAGAGGTGGGTTTGGCTTGTGGGAGAGATTCCCATGGGATAACAATGCAGTAGAGGAAGGGTGACAGCATCCTGGTGTATCCAGGGGGTAGGATATATGGTCCTTGTAAAGCCAAATACCCCCCTGGGAGCCAAAGAAAGAAGAGCACTTGTGCTTCCCCTTCCCCCCCCATGCATCTCCCACCATCCCCTCCCCGTGCTCCATCCTTTGTCCTCCCCCCCTTCTCCTTCCACCCAGGAGCATCCCAAGGGTGGTCCCACTCCTCCCCATGCCCCCCATGCAGCATCCAGAGCTGGGAGGGATAAAACCACCTCTGTCCCCTCCCTTGTCCTGCAGCCAACGTCACCCTGGACCCCTCCACGGCTCACCCCAACCTCCACATCTCCGAGGACCTCAGGGAAGCCCGAGGCCACCTCCAGGCGCAGGACGTGCAGGACACCCCATGGAGGTTCAACTACGAGCCCTGCGTGCTGGGGCAGCCGGGCTTCACCTCGGGCAGGCACTTCTGGGACGTGGACGTGGGGCAGGGGGGGGTCTGGGCGCTGGGGGTGGCCCGAGCATCCATCCCCAGGAAGGGACCCCTGAGCCTCACGCCCAAGGAGGGGGTTTGGGCGCTGGAGGCTTTTCACTCCCTCACGTCCCCCCGCGCCAGCGCGCGCCCGAGCCCCGTCCCCAGCAGGATCCGGGTGTCCCTGGACTATGAAGGGGGCCGGGTGGCGTTTTTCAGTGCTGCCGACGAGGCTCCCCTCCTGGTTTACACCAGAGCCTCCTTCAACGGGGAGAGGCTCCTGCCCTGGTTCAAGATGGGGATGGGCGCTCGCCTGCAGGACATCAGCCAAGCCCTGCCCTCTGAGGAGCAGCCCCTGAGTGGGCAGCTCATGGCCCCTCTGGACTGGGTGGGGTTCAGGTTCCCGCTCCGGATCTGTCCTTGAGGTGGGTGTCAAGCATCAGACCCTAAGAGCAGGGTCACCTCCTGCGTGATGCTGTTGTTGAGGGTGATCACGGCATCACGGCAAAGGGGCTTGCAGCTCCTCTCTGCGTCCATTGGGAGCTGTGGGATGAGGATGGGGAGGTGGGGACACCAACAGGATCAGGCAGTACGAGGGGACGGAGACAGCTCATCAGAAGGAGGAGAATCCTGAAGGAACGCTCAGGGCTTTGATTTTCTTTTAGAGCTTATTTTTGGCTCTAATGGCCTGAATCGTCCTGTTTAAATCCCTTTGCGAAGTGTTTTCTTCCTGACACCAATCTCAAGGCAGATCCAGAGCCTGTTTTCCCAAGGGAGGTGGCCTTTCCCAGCCAACTGCCTTGCTCTGGGAGCTGATCCCAACCTCTGCCACATTCCTATGTTCGGCTTCAATAAAATAACCCTTTGGTTTGAGCTCTCTGCCTTGCTATGGGTGGATTATTATGGGTGCATTTCATAGCCTTTGGGACAGCAAAGAGGGGTATTCAGGGTGGTGCTTACCCTTCCACCTCATCCCGGTGGGCCTCTAGCCATTCAACTGGGAGCTAAAGGGAAACAATCCCACCTGGATGAATTCCTTCAAAATTGATGATTTCTGCTGAGAAAGCCCCAAAGAGGAAGAGGCATCCTCCAGACACACATTATCCCACCACGCTCCTCAGGAACACAAGGTGCAACCCCTAGATCCCATTGGAACTGCTTGATGGGAGGTAGAGATCCACGTTTCCCTTCCTCCTCCAGCCCCGCAGCTCCCTCCATGTCCCTGCTCCCTTCCGAGCTCTGTCCCAGCTCTTCCATGGTGTCCTTAACCTGGAGATGCAGCCTGCAGACATCTCCAGCTGGTTTTCCAGGTTCCATAGGTGCTTCCAGGGCACAACTGTGGGCTTCTCATTGAGATGAAAGGAGCAGGGTGGGAGCCAAGCAGACCCAAGCTTCCAGTCCTTCTGATGGGAATAGCTCACTGGGAATGGGACTTGCACCTCCAATGCTGGCCAAGCAATGGGATTCATCCCTTCAGTGGGGTCTCCACTCCTCCCAGGTGCTGCCATGCAGATATATATCTATTGATGGAGCTTATCAAAGGGTTATAAATGGCTTAGAAACATCCCCTGCGAGCTTGGAGCCAGGATGGGGTTTCTTGATGGGCACATCCATGGCCTGGGTGCCGATTGTGCCCCATTGAGTCCCAGCCCCTCTTCCAGCACCTACAAGCCTCTGGTCGCACAATTCCTTCCCCGTTTTCCTCATCCATGATTGCACCAAGAGCTCCCAGAGGCTGAAATATCTTTTGGGGGATGGATTTGCCTAATTCCCATCCCTAAAGAGAGAGAAGGGAGAGGCAGGAAGGGGCAGCCCTCGGGATAGAAGGTGCTTTGATTCCTTCCTAGCACATCCCCACCCCCTGCCATGGCACACAGACCTGACTCACAGGCTCAGCGCATCCCTGCTCCAGGTCTATTATCCAGCACTGGGGAGGAACAGGAAGGGAAAGATCCAGCCCCATCAAAGGGATAAACCCTAACAGGTTTGGGCCTTTCAAGTTCACTTTGGAAGAGCTTCAGGTGGAGCTCAGAAGCTGTTCTGGAGGGGGAGAAGGTCTCCGAGAGGAACAGAACCCTGGAGTGCAGGAAACTGGAGGGCCTGGTGGGTATCGAGGTCCCTGGGCAGTGACACAAGGGCTCAGGGTCAGTTCTTCGCTCTTTGTTGCTTGCACTGCAGCATGGATGTGATGGTGAGCACGGGGACATCAAGGCTTTCACCCCAAGCTCATGGTGGCTTCTTTTGCATCAGGTTTAATGGGAAAGAAACGATGGGGATTTGGGCTCCTGAATGACGTTTTCCTGTAGGAAAGGCTTTTCCCACCCTGTTGCCGCTTCGTTTGTATCTCCAAAGGGAGGGAAGAAGCTGAGCCCTGGTGCTGCAGGTCCCAAAAAGGCTTTTTCTTCTTGCTTTCCCAGCTGGAAGACCTGAAGAATGAGATTGAGAAGAGGCAAGCCAAAAATGCCACCAAATTCCCAGAGAATTCCCAGCTGGACACCGAGGCACAAGGGCGAGAAGAGAAGAACCAGCAACCGGTGAGTGAATTCATCCCATGTACAGGGGTTTATGGGGAGGGGAAATCCCCCCTGGTTGGGATTTCCCAGTCCCACTTTGCTTCTATTCCCTCTGTAGATCTGCAGATCCCAAGGGGATGAAGGGAGGGGGATTTGCAGCCTGGAATGATGAGAGTGAAATCAGTGGTTTGTAGAAGGAACAGTGGGGGCTGGTGGTTCCCTATGGGGTGGGGAGAGGAATGTGATAGTGCAAGGAGCATCACCTGTGACAGGCAGCCCAGAGCATCAGGTCCATGGGCTGAAGCTGGGGAAGCAGCCTGTGGCCACATTCCTTCAAGGCATCTTGTGCTGTAAGAAGAGTCCACACTGAGCTTCTTTTTCTCTTTCTCCTTCCCCCAGGACATAAGGAGCACCGTCAGCAGGTATGTGGCCTCTCCAAAAGGCTGTTCCATGGGGTTTTCCAAGAGCCATGGTGGAGCAATGCCCATGGTGGCTGCTTCAGGGGGTCTGGAAGGGCATTTGGGTACCACCACCACTATGTGTTCATCACCTCATTCCTGGTGGCACCAGATTCCCCCGGTGGTGACGATTCCAAAGGCGAGGTTTTCCTCTTCCCTAGATGTGGAAAAGCGACTTTCCAGCTCCCAGCAGATGCCTCTCCGGAGTCAGAAGAGAGATCCTGTCACTTCTCCTGGAGGAACGGAGGGCTGAAGGAGACCCTGAGGAAGCTGCAAGGTACGGAAGGGCTTGAGGAAGGGGAACTGCTTGACCTGTATTGGGAGAGCTGGAAGAGCTGCCCATAGATCACCCTGGATATGCTTTGGGAATGGAGATGCTGCAGTGAGGAACCCTGGGATGGAGGAGACGGGGAACAAAGGGGTTTCCTGGTCAGAAGGTTGGTACCCACATTTATCACTATCAATTGTCCATGTTTTGCCCTGGTTCCTGAAGGATGCTCCTGCTGGAGCTCCCCGTCCGGCCTATTGCAATCCCAGAAAGGGCTGAGCATGAGAACACAAGAGCAGCCGCACCTGTCAGGTGAAGGTGGAACACAAAGCGCCCAAAAGAGATGCTGAAGGAGGGGTATGAAAATCAGGACAACCCAACGGGTTTTCCCAGCCCTGCAGCTGGAAGAACCCCCCCTCCAGGGCAGAGCCAACTGATTCCATGAACATGGAAATTGGTTGGCCTAATTCAGTGCCAGCTCTTAGGTCTTTTTGTTGTTCAAGCTCAGCTGAACCGGTCTGGTCTTGTCCTGTGGTTGTGCAGGAGACAACCCACATCCCTTCCCTTCCTTCTTTCTTCTCCCAGCATAGCCTGAAGTCCGCAGGAGCCCGTTGCCATTCCTGTGTGCATTTCCTTTGGGGGTTAAAGCCAGCTTTTCTGCTTCACAGACAGAACATTTCCCTGCTTTGGGATGCTTCTGCCTTGGGATGCTCCCATTTGGGATGCTTCCATTTGGGATGCTTCTTCCCCTTGGATACCAGCCCGGGTCCTGCTGCCTCCTCCGCTCTCCCCCCATCCCTGGCGGGGCTCAACCCTCTTTCTGACCCCCTGTCCCGCACCCGCAGCCACCGTGACGCTGGACCCGGACACTGCGCATCCCGACCTCATCCTGTCGGAGGACGGGAAGAGCGTGCGGCGCGGCGCGGGCCGCCGGGACGTGCCGGACAACCCGGAGCGCTTTGACTACTGGCCCTTCGTGCTGGGCTGCCAGGGCTTCGCGGCCGGGCGGCACTGCTGGGACGTGGAGGTGGGCGACAGCGGGGACTGGGCGCTGGGGGTGGCCCGGGACTCCATCCACCGCAAAGGGCACCTCAGCCTCTGCCCGCAGGGAGGGATCTGGGGCTTGGAGAAGTGGGGGGGGCAGGTGCGGGCCCTCACCGCCCGCAAGGTGACGCTGCTGCCGCTGCGCTGGGTACCGCGCAGGGTCAGCGTCCACCTGGATTACGGCGGCGGGACCGTGGCGTTCTTCGATGCCGATGAAGGGGGGCTTATGTTCATCTTCTCCCGAGCGGCATTCACCGGGGAGAGGGTCCGGCCCTGGCTCTGGGTGGTGGGGGCCAGGTCCCAGCTCAGGCTGTGTCCGTGAGACACTGGGGGGAGCATCCCCTAACCCCAACCCAGAGCAGCATCCCCTAAACCAGAGCAGCATCCCTTAAGCCTAACCCAGAGCAGTGTCCTCTACCCCAACCCAGAGCAGCATCCTCTAACCCCAATCCAGGGCAGCATCCCTTAACCCTAACCCAGAGCAGTGTCCTCTAACCCCAACCCAGAGCAGCATCCCCTAAACCAGAGCAGTGTCCCTTAACCCTAACCCGGAACCATTTCCTCTCTTCTCCTCCAGCACATTTGATACTAACGATGGACATTAGTAATAAAATGCACCTGATTTTCCCCTCCTTGTCTTCCCCTCTTGTCAGGGCTGCAGCAAGCAGTAGAGCAGAGTGGTACATGGGATGTCCTTATGTACCTGCAAGGGGCTTGTTGGCCTTTCTGGGTGCAGGCGCAGCCTACTCGCAGGCTTTGTGCAAGGGAAGACCACAAATGGGATTTAGTTAACCAAAAGCCCCCTCTAGAACCTGACATTCAGAAGCAGCAAATAACCAGGCAGAGAAGAACAAGACAGCATCTAAATCCTTTTACTTCATCTAAAAGCGTAAGAGGGAGAAGCAGCCAGGCTGGTGTGAGATGTTGTGGCTTCATTTGATGCCCTGATTTGGGGGTGACCACTTGGGACACTGACCCATGGGGATGCTCATCCCTTTGGCATCATGGGGGATGGAAACAGAGGCTGGAAAGGGCAATTTAAGACCTCCAGAGTGCTGGAAATAGAGATACTGGGGACAGGAGGCTTGTGTTGGAGTGGGAAGGGAGAGCCTCATGGGCACAATGTGATATGGGCCCCTTCACCCCACACCAGGAACCAGGGATGGATGCTCTCCCCTTTGAAGGAGGCTGCTGGGAAGGTGAAGATCAGGGATCTCTTATCAGCATCAAAAAATGCCACCTGACCCCTGTCATAGTCCAGGGAGACCTGGACCCTGGTGGGGACCTGGACCTGGTACAGTGGGATGCGCTCGAGGGAGGTGAGAGCCCAGAACTGCCCCTCGCAGAGCCCCATGGACCAGAGCTCCATCCCGGGGCCCTCAGCAGCCTCCTCCCTCCTCCTGAGGGACTGTGTGGCCACCCCGACAGCCCAGGAGCCTCTGGGGGCCACCTCCACCTCCCAGCAGCATCTCCCCACGGTGATGCCCTCACTGCCCAGGACACAGGGGTCGGTGCCCAAGCCCTCAGCACATGGGTCCTGGTGGGCATCATTGTCCCACCTCACACTCCTCCCATCGGATGACACCACGAGCTGGGGATGAGCTGTGGATGGGTCCAGGGTCACCTTCACTGTGAAGGGCAGAGATAGAGCATCAGAGAAAACCAGTATTCCATGGCCCCAGGGACCATGTAGCACCATCATTGGAGGTGCTGGTTGCTTTCCCCATCCCACAGGGCTCAGGAGCAGCTTCCCAAGGGAAGAACAAGCTGGAGGGCAGATGAGTAAGAGACCCTCATCCTTCAGGGTGTTTTGTGCCAAAAGTGTGCATTTGGTCCCTGGCCACCCCGATGTGACAGCTAGAGCCAGTCCTCATGCAGCTCCATTGAGAGAACAGAACCCATCAGCACCTTATGGTGAGGACTCCCTGACTCTTTAGGGGGTTTTTCCTCCCTTCCCATTCATCACTTGGTTCAGACACAGATGAACGGATCCTAGGCTGGGCTCAGCCTTCCCTTGGCCCTTCCCACTCCCTCACCTTCAGGAGATGGGGACTTACTCTTTTCTGGCAGCTCGAACATCAGGATGTCTATGGAGGGGAGAAAAGGAGGCGTGAGTTGGTGTAACACGAAGACAGGGCTGCTCTGCATGCTCAGAGCACACACGCACCTTGGAAGCTCCTCAAGGTCTCCTCCAGAGCAGTGTTTCTGTCCCTGAAATGGCTGATTCTCTTCTCCAGCTCTGCAAGCAGCAGTGGGGGCTGCTGGAAGCTCTCAATTTCAAGCCTAGGAAGGAGGATGGGACAAAGAGGGGAAGGATTCATCTCCACAAAGAGAGACCAAGAAGGCTTTTGTGCACACTTTGGTGCAGCCTTAGATAAACCTGATGCATGGGCAACCATGGGTAGAGCTCAGGGTCCGCGCTCAGGGATCTGTCCACAAAGCCTCTGAGTGATGCCCAACACGAGGTCTAAATCCCTCCCAAATAGACGCTGGGGGAGCCCCATACCTGCTCAAGGTGCCTCTGATGTCCTGGAAGGGAGAGAGGGAAGAGGGAGCTCAGTGAATGGCTCTTAGGAGGAAAACATCTCCTGAAGCAGCAAGAGTGTGGAGCAGGGCACAGCCTGGGCTTGGCTGAATCATGGGGCCCAGATGGTGGTACCCAGATAGTGGTCCCCTGGCTCCTCACCTGCAGGAATCGATTTGTCGGCTGCTGGCTCTTCTCCTCCATCTCTTGGATGAAGGAATCCAGGCGGGAGATCTCCTTTGTCAGGCTGGTGACATTTTCTTCCTGCAGCTTCTCAATGTCCTGCTCCAGGTCTCCCAGCTGAGCCAGCAGATGCTGAGCATGGTCCTCCAGGAAGAGCCGCAGCCCTTCCAGCTTGGATAGGACCCTCTGGCGCTCGGCTGTGGTCTTCTCCTGTGAGGAGGGGATAAGGGAAGGAAAAGGGAAGGGGATTCTATCCATCCATCCATCCATCCATCCATCCATCCATCCATCCATCCATCCATCCTCCCACCCATCCATCCCAAGTAGCTTTTATACAGATCTCTTGATCTGCACGCAGCAGTTGAGTCCCTGGCAGATCTCCAGGCTCTGCCCATTATGCATCATTTGGTTTGGAACCTGGAGCAGGACCCCAGCCCCAGCAGGATGGTGTTGCACCTAAAGCCAGAGCCTGACATTCAAACCCCCCTTACCAAGTATTCCCAGTTCCTCCTCATCTCAGCCTCTCGCACCCCCAGGAGTTTGTCTTTCTCTTCCTTCAGGGCTTGCAGACGGGCCTGAATTTGTCCCTAGGGAAGGAAAAAGGTCTCTGGAGATTCGGCTACCCAAAAAGGGGATTGCACTGTGGTCAGCTCCAGAGACTTGAATTGCACAGAAGGGAAGTTGAGACCTCAGCCCTCCATCCCTGGAGCACCAGATGAGAACTGAGAGAGCAGAAGCACTGGTGCATGCCCTGCGCTGTCATTCTGAAACAGGCTGTGTAGGAAGCATAGAGGGGGGAACACAAGAGTTCTGCCCCCACAGCACAGCCCTGAGTGAGGGCAAGATGTTCCACAGCCTGGTGGTAATGTGCTGCTATAGGAGCATCAAGCCCTGATGGTGCTGGTGGGTGGGAAAAGCCTCATTGTACCTTGTATCCCTGGACAGCATCCTGCGCGGGGAGCATCCTGTGGGACCGGTGTGCGCGGGACTCCCTGCAGATCACACAGATAAAGGTTCCATCGTCTTCGCAGAAGAGCTTGAGAGGTTCCTGGTGCCTCTCGCATCTTTCCCCTTGTCCCGTGTCCCCCTCGGCCGCCTGCGCTCTCAGCCTCCGCGCCGCCTCCAGCACCCGCGCCAGCTCCCGGCTGGGATGCAGCGTCCTCTCCGGTGCCGTCTCCCGACACCGCGGGCAGGAGAAAGGCGCCGTGGACCATTCCCAGCAGCGGGAGATGCAGACGCGGCAGAAGTTGTGTCCGCAGTGGATGGAGACCGGGTCGCGGAAGTACTCGAGGCAGATGGGGCAGGAGGCTTCGCTGGGGAGCGCCGTGGAGGGGCTCGGGGCAGACATCGGGTCCCCCCCCCGATGAGAGCTCTCAGGCAGACGCTGCTTTCGTTTGCCTTCGAGCAAGGGAAAGGCGTTTCCCTTCCGCCTCCCCCACCCCCGGGGGGGGGGGGGGGGGGGCAGAGCCAGAGCAGAGCTTGGCTGGGATGGGGTGGAGCTGGTGGTGGCTCTTGGCAGCATCTCTCGAGCGATCCCTGCTCCCCATGGTCTGTACCCACATCCGGGCAGGAGGAAGGACAGGGAAAGGGAACCCTGTCTGAGGGGCAGACCCACATCGTGGAAAAGGGCCGGGCTTGGGAGCAAAGAGGATGTGGGGAAGGGGCTCTGTGTGGTAAAGGTGACAAAGAGCAATGGAAAAGATGGGGAAGAGCATCCATGGAAAAGGTGTGTTGCTGCAGCAGGAAGAAGAGCAGGGGACAAAGCAGCATCCTCAGTGCAAAGGCCAGACACAGCCTGGGGGGTGGGGGGGGGATCAAACCCAACACCAGCCCCTCTGCACATCCCATTAATCTACATCAGCCTTTAGCTCCAGGTTAAGCAATAAAAGAAGCCTCGAGCATGATGCTGAGCCCCAGGTTTCAGTGTGGGTGCTCATGCACACAACTAACAGCGGATGTTCTCAGATGTGTCACTTCGTTACCCAGCCTCAGCACTGTGCAAAGTCCTGTGTCGTTGCTACAGCTTTGCAAGGGAGCCAGGATGCACAAAAGGCACCTTCACATTAACATTGCTAAGAGGGTGCGTGACCAGCGACTCAAGGCTCAGCCCTGAACCATGAGAGAAGCAGCAGCATCCTGCTCAAAAGGAGAACTGAAAGCAGCAATAAGTGGTTATAGCTGCACATACACACGCAGGAAGGAGTTGCTGGCAGTGGCAAGGAGTGAAGGGTGGGATTACAACCCAGGAAATGATGTTTGTTCTGCATTGAACCTCTTTCCCCCAGGGAAAGGGGAGTTCTCCCTTCATTCCCCATCCCAGAGAAGACCCATTGCCCCTCAGCACTGCAGCTGCTCCTCTGCTCACATTCACCTCCCTTGGGGCCAGAGGCACCGCTGGGGCAGGAAGTGAAACCTGTCCCATCATCCCCACCACCGAGCCCATGGCTGCAGCCAGCCCTGCCCAGAGCTTCCACGATGAAGCCTCCTGCTCCATCTGCCGGGGCCTCTTCCAGGACCCCGTCTCCATCCACTGCGGACACAACTTCTGCCGGGCTTGCATCACCCGCTGCTGGGAGGGATCCGACGGGAGCTTCTCCTGCCCTCAGTGCCGGGAGACGGCGCCGCAGAGGAACCTGAGACCCAATAGGGAGCTGGCGACGCTGATCGCGGTGGCGCGGAGGCTGAGC